GTGTGTTAAACATGAAGTAAAAGGCTTGTCAGAAATAATGAAGGTTCTCCATTATTCTATTAGGCCATGCAGAGTTTTGACACATTTTATTAATATTCAATAATATTTTTAGAAAATGAACTTGTAACAAACATGATTTTGGACATTGTTAAAGAAAATTATTTTGGAGTACCAAATACTTCCAAAACATCATTCAACATTTGAATAGGTTCTTTGCTTTTAAAGATCATGTTTAATCCCAATAAAAGTAGTTAAAAAGCAGTTTGTATTCAATAATGGTTGCTATACCTGATTAGCATCTGGCAAGATTTGGCCTCATAGCCATGCTAGGATTGATTTCAGGTAATCATTGTTGTATATGCATAGATATACAGTACATAACATTTAAATATATTTGTTAAGTGGTCTTTTCATTTTAGAGCAAAAACATCAGGGAAAGGGAAAAACAAATTATGTCATCATTGTATATAGTTTAAGTATCACATCAGTATAAACATGTTTTTAAGAGGTCTCTTCTTTGTAATTAAAGCAAAACATTCACAAGGGAAAGGGAAAGATGAATTATGTAACATAATTATCATTGTATATACAGTTTTAGTATCACAAGCATAACATTGCATGTGAATAAAAGTATTTTGAAATGGTCTCTATAAGGGAAAGGAAAGATGAATTACATAACATAATAATCATTGTACATATAGTTTTAGTATCACAAGCATAACATTGTACATGTACATGTACATGTATGTGAATAAAAGTATTTGAAATGGTCTCTATAAGGGAAAGGGAAAGATGAATTATGTAACATACAGTAATCATTGTACATATACATGTAGTTTAAGTTTCACATGCTGTAGGATATAAATAAACACATTTTGAAATGGTCTCTTCATTGTAAAGCCCACATTACATTTGAAAGTGAAAGATGAATACGACTTGTTTACCTGTGTACATATGAGAGTGAAAGATGGATGTGATGTGTTTACGTGAAAGTGAAAAATGGCAGTGACGTGTTTTACAAAATGTACGTGTACAAATACGAAATAAAAAAAGCAAGTCAAGTTGGCCGAAATTAGCATCTCCATCCATTCATCAACCACTCTGGGGATGACACAGCATTTCTCAAAGCTGTTGTGTATACACACAAGCATTTGAATAGTGTGGTCACTCTCACACACTAGACTGCAAGCACAGACCCTGTATTTGACACTTTATCGCAATGATTTATTGCAACAACAAATGTGTATTGAGTGAAGCTTGACCCAACCTACATGTACACGTAGTTTACAGTAAACCGCGCATTAGGGCAAAATTTATAGTAATTACCGTATATAAATGATAGCAAGTATGCTTTATAAATGCAGATGGGGAAACATTGAAATTGATCATTTATCATTCTTTAGACTGTATTTATTTTATTTAGAAAAATTGAAATATAGTGTGGGCAAAACAAGTTTGGAAATGTTATGAAATTATAAAAACATAAACAAGTATGATAAAGACATTTGTAACTCTTCCAACATCAATATTTGTATCAGTTATTTCCCTTTCGTAAACCAAGTAGGGGCAGATCAGAAGCCAAAGCATGGATAGGATTTTATCATTGTGTACTGATACATGTACATCCACATCAAAATAGTGTACATTTAATATGCTAGTGCTGCTATTTTGCGCATAATTAAGATGATAATTAATGCGGACCTTGATAAAAGGAATTATGCAGATAAATTTTCATTGCCATAACATCATAATTTTTCTCTTGTTTTGTTCTGTTTTATTCACATATTTTAGGGGAGGAGTTGGGGGTGTAGGCATAGTGTGTAATTTGTTTTTAAATTTATGTATTTTTTGATAGTATTAACTGTATATTCATGTAGATGTGCATCTGATTTTACCCTTTTAACGTCCAACAGCCTTTTCACACACAGCTAAAATTCATTGTATCTAGAGATGATTAGTATAAACGTGTTTAACTCAACAGTTTTAAACATCTTTATAGAAAATTTTCCCTGTGTGAACATCGTTTATACGATGTTGGGATAGACACAAAGTCGTGATACATACGCCCCTAAAAGCAGGCTGCAGATACGAAGTTCGTATCTAGAGAGCTTGACATTTTGTGTGTGAAAGGTTATTCATGTTTAAACGTGTTTAAACTGGATGGAGCGTGCGCTTTGATTGATATGACATGACCTTCAATGCACAATGGCACTACTGCGCATTTTACGAGCAGTAGTTAATCACGAAACGATTAACTATCACACCAAAATTTCTGTGTGTGAATGATGTTTTATGTACAAGTGATTAGTTTAAAGCCCTTTAAACTAATCATGTTTATAGAATTCTAGCTGTGTGTGAAAAGGCTGTAGTACAATCATATAAGGTGTCTCTCTGAAACCAAATCAATGACTATTTCATGCATGTGTACATGTAGTACATATGCATGCACATGTACATGTGCGGCAATAATAATATGTGCGGTTTGTATATGTTAAGAATGCCAGTCTTTGGATGATATGTAAACACTGGCCACTAGCTGACGAAGCAAAGTTGAGAGTGTAGAGCTTTGGTTTTTAAAGGGCAACCCTTTGTGTATCGATCTGTACCAGGTTGCTTATAATGAAAAAAGAAAAACCAGATTGTTATAGAAATGCGTACATGCATAGAATTTTGAAAGTTTCCATTTTATTTTCACTTTTCATTTATTTATTACTTTATTTATTTTGTTTTATTTCATCATTTCAGTAGTTAAGATACTGTTATACTTGGGGGCCCTGCATAACATAAAAATACATGTAAAGACATACTTATACATGAAAACAACATTACATGGTGAATAGTATAGTATTAATGACTGCTTTGAGAGAAATAGTTGTTTTTATATGCTCAAGGGAAGGTTAGAATTGTGCTATTACCCGAGGCGTGCCGAGGGGAATAGCCCAATTGTAACCTTCCCGAGAGCGTATAAAAAAAACTATTTCTTGAATATTAAAGCAGTCATTAATACTTTTATATGCCAAAAAAAAGAAAAAAAGAAAGAAAAAAAAAAAGAAAAAAAAACTTTTGTCGAAGATGGGATTCGAACTCTTGCGTACAAAAGGTGATGTAACTACAGTCAGCGCCTCAAACCGCTAGGCCAGCGCGCACTGTCACCACGTACAGTAGTTTTCTTTAATATATACATTAAAATAAATTGAAAACGGCTTCGCGTGGTCGATGCTTCGCCGCTGCTCCATTAAACGGGCCCTTCTTTTACTTTTGCAATGCATATTGGCACGAACTTAGATCAAGATCTATCGGCAGATGTTGTTTTTTTGTTTTTGGAAGTTTATTTTCGTCTTCATGTCAACAATGCAAGATAAAATTGTCGGTAAGATCGATCGAGATTCAATTGTATTGAAATTACCGACCAATTCTTCGCACACGTACGGTATCCTCGATCGCTCAGACCATTTTTTAACATGTAAACCTATGGGGTAACCATGGAGACTGACCTATTTTCCCAATAACCATGGTTATTGGGATTTTGAACTGTTTTTTAACCATGGTTACCGGGAATTTTCGGGAACAGTTAAAGTTTATGAATGCAATTTCGACCAATCAGATTGCTGGATTACTTAAGTGAGGTATATAATAAAAAATGATATACCGGTACCAGAAAGAATACAGATTAAATTTCAAATGTACTAATGTAAACTCAGCAAGTAAAAAAAATTAACAAAAATCAAGTCATCAAGAAAATCATTCATGGGCAAATTTTGAAAACAAATCCTTATGTCGTATTAACAGTGTGTCTAAACATGAATATACATTATTTGTAGTTTGTAGGATAATTGTGTGAAATACAGTAATCTATAATTGGTAAGTACTAAATATTCAAGTGTGAATTTCATTTTAGTGTAGCCATTATACATGTACATGCAATACATTTTCAATCAGGAACATTTCAAATTTACAGCTAGTGCCCTATAAATATAATAGCAAGACATTAATCTACATTTGCTCGTGTTTTTGCCAGGATGGAAAGATTTGTCACATTAAAATGTTGAGTTTGAGTTGTTGTTTCCTATTTTCTGGCATGTACAATATGCTCTGGTGTTGATTTATTGGTCCACAGTTCCTATCCCCCAGTGGCATCTACATGTACTGTAGATCATTGAATTGGAAGAGGGCATGTTGTACTGGGTCAAATTTGACATATGGTCTATTCGAGCTAACAATCGCTTTGTTTGAACTTTCAGGTTATTGCTGTTCATTTTGACTATATGGTATATAATTCAGCTTTGGCCACCCAAGTTTCTATACAATCAGAACACAAGGATATAGAGCAGATTGCATGCTATGAATCAAGTATGATAAAAATTGACAAGACTCCTTTCAAAACAATATATTGTATATGTATATCCTTACATGTACGGTATGTGTGTTGTGACTTGAAAATGTTTTGTGAAAGTTTCATATTTCCTTCTGAAAATGAAACATCATACACACTTTTTGGAAAATAAATCTTCTGGAATTCTGTTGGATCGTCATCATAATAGAAACTACCCTATCATCCGTGTACATGTACCACTAGTGTTCTTTTGATCAGCAGTGTGTTTTCACAAACTCCTAAGCTTGGGTCACCCCGTTCAGATTCATGCATGTTTAATATCTAGTCCGGTTTGCATCTCTGTTTATACGCCAGTGTGTTGAATGATGTCGATCCTTATGTACTGGAGTGATTTGTTGCGTGTCTTAGTTCAGCGGACATTTTCCGATAGATGACCATTGCATGATTCAAACTTTCATTTTAATTGGTCGAAATCCATCTATGCAAATTACTCTCAATAAAATGTAAAACTGTTTCAATCATCTCTGTTTTAATTACTGTTGTTTTATAATTCACCAACTTTTGCTAACAATGTGTGTTCATTTTCGTAAGCTTAATTTCACCTTTATAAGACCTCTTCCTTGTACATCAATTCTACTTATTTTCTGCTTGTTTATTTTCTTTTCAGGTGTGAACAGTGAGAGCCTGCATTTTGCAACCCGCCCAAAACAGAAAGCAGGCAAATCATCCCAGTGCGCCTGGCCTCCAAGATAAAGAGAGATAAACCAAGAGATAACTAACACGGTGTCAAGATGGTAGAGGGTGACCCACCTGCTGTGGGTTTCTCCAATGGCAATGGAACAGTGCAGATGAATGGAAATGGAGCTAGCTTTGGTATGTCATCTCTTTATTAACAGGCTCATTTGCATGCAGTATATAGGCCTATATGTATACTGCATCGTTTTTCTGCATAACAATGTCAGCTTCATTGCCATGAAAACAGAACTAGTTATCAATGGATTAATTGCTCACATATATTATAATACACAGATAGTGAGAACATGTACAATTGGACCTTTGTTGCATGGAGGTACTATTTTGAAGTATTTTCAACCTCACTGCCATTTGATTTTACACACAAACACACACAACGCCAAGGTTTCTCTGCATCATATCATATGTGAACAAGCTATTAATAGCTAGTTCTTTCTTCTTGAAACTGAAACAGTAACCCGTACTGTCAAGTGATATTAATTTCAACTGGTTGATAAATAACTAATTATGTCAGATTACAACCGAGAAACTGGATGCTCAATACACCAAAGATATTTTTTGATGTTTTCTCATTTCCTAATGAGGAAATCAACTTGTTGAGTTAATTGTTGCTTCTGTTTTTTTTATTTGTATGTACTGTAAAAGATATGTTGTTGTTGTTTTTTGTTTGTTAAATAAATGATAGGGGCCATAGATCATGTATAAAATTTGAAGTAGGTACCAATATTAGAACGTTCCTTGATTTGTTGTCCTTTTTAGATGGACCAATAATTGAATATGGATTGTATTCCTGTAGATTAAAAGTTTAACAGAAATGTATCGCAAGTGTAACCATGAATATTCCCTAATTTTCAGATGGACCAGCCGTGATCGATGTGTCGCCTATACATGAGGACGCTCCTTCTGCTAAGCATGCGAGAGACTCTCCTCCCCCTGCCTACAATGATGTCAGTGGAACGAAGGAACAGGGAGACGGAGGATCTGCGGAAGGAGAGGGTGGAGAGAAGGAAGAAAAGAAAGAGACAAAAGTAGTGGGCACGTTTGAAGTGGTAAGAATTTGCTTCATGAAGTTTGCAGAATCACTATTTAATTCATTGAAAAATGAGCAATTTCTTCATTTTGGGGCATAGTGTCCATCCATCCATTTTTTTCTACCACGTACGTGACTTTCTATTAGAAATGCGTAGCAACAGGCTTTGTTTTTGGTAAGAACCATGTTTTATGCGTAGTTTTTGTATTTCAAGATTATTTCCTAGTTTTTGTTCTCAGGTCTTTGCTCTAGATCACCATTCATTGTTCAGATGGTTCCCCAGGGTCTCTGGAATCCATTAAAATATCCATTAAAAATGGTAATAAACAGATTGTTTCGTACAAAGCGTTATGTTTCTCAATTGAAGACCTGAAGAACAGCCACTTAATGCAGGGAGTGATGGAGGGGGAGGAAGGGAAGGGAAGGGAGGGAGGGAGGGGAGGGGAGGGAGGGAGGGAGGGAGGGAGGGAGGGAGGGAGGGAGGGAGGGAGGGAGGGAGGGGGAGGGAGAGGGGGAAGGAATGAGGATGGAGGAAGAGGAGGGCAGAGGGAAGGAAAAGGACAGCCATCAACGATAATATATATGAGCCACTGATATCACTCCTTCAATTCAATTCAATTCAATTCAAATGAACATTTATTTCCTTCCATTCAACTTGACTTTTTGACATCTGTTCAAACAATACAATTTATACATAGGAACATAAATATAATGAAAAAACTTGTATTACAAGGAAGAAGGCGCGAATCCTGATAAACAGCTTGTAATGGGTACGCCCGAATACACAAATACATAATATACATTATAAATAGAAGAAAGGAAGAAAGGGATAGGCAAGGAGGAGAGGAAGATCTAGAGCTTGGAGAAAGAGAAAAGAAGAGGACTGCAACATTTGATTTGATTTGATTCAATTTGATACCACTTCAAATGAATCCATGCTGGCGATACCATCGTGTGTGATTGACAAAACCCTAACAATATTATAGTTTCCAAATACTCTTGCGCCCCATAACGCAAAGGTTTGCTATCGATTGCAAATTTAAAACAATGATTCTGATTGGTTAATGGTCAGCCTTTTGGGCATTATGTGTATGAAACAAAGATCTTGATTGGCCATTGTCATTCTGCAAGTGATTACAAACCTTTGTGGTAGGAGGCCCAGGTTTGACCACTATTATCGTTATCGTTGAATTATATAGTTTATCATTATATGTTATCTTTAAGATCCTACCAGCACTTACAAGTTCAATTCCCTTTTTTTATCCTGCAGTTTCGCTTTGCAACTGGTCTAGACGTCGTGTTCATTCTGCTAGCTCTTGTGATCTCTCTCTGCCACGGTGTGGCCTTGCCTGCCGTTCTTCTCCTATTCGGAGAAGTCACAGATTCTTTCATCACTACAGCCTCCGTGAACGTGACAGACAAGTTAGTTTTGTGCTTATCAACTGTATTATTCATAGTCGTGATTAATATAACAATTATACTTAGGCTTGCGGTTGCACCATGTGAGAGAGGGGGGGGGGGATTGGGGAGTCCTGAAAAGGACTCTCCGTAATCTTTCTTTCTTGAATATGTGTAGTCCTGAAAAAGACTAATGGTGTATAAAAATATATATACAAATTTATATCAAAATTGTAGTAATCCTCGCTTTCTTCATTTTTGTTTTGTTTAAGAAGTAGTCGAGTAGTGGCAAAAATGACAAATTATTTGTGAGCTTTGTCAGTTTGGAAGTATATCATACTAGAAATGTTCCCAAATTGCTCTTCAAAAGCCCTCATATTCAAAATATGACGAGATATAGGTAAACATTTTTTACCAGACCTTTGTGTGTAGTCCAATTTTTCTATGCACAGTTCATTGTGATCTTCAGCTAGACTGAGTCAATTTCTTTTCATTTTGGTAATTCCAAAACTTCACAGTACACTTAAGTTATTAAGTACTACATAAGAAACTGTTCTCAGTTGCTAGCCTAAAGACATCTTCTATAACAATGTACTTGCATAAGCAGAACTCAATTGTATCTTTAAAATGAAATAAAAAGACATGTCTATCAAACATCATCTGAGCTGCAGTTCAGTAACCAATGTTATATACCTCACTTAAGTAATCCAGCAATCTGATTGGTCGAAATTGCATTCATAAACTTTAACTGTTCCCGAAAATTCCCGGTAACCATGGTTAAAAAACAGTTCAAAATCCCAATAACCATGGTTATTGGGAAAATAGGTCAGTCTCCATGGTTACCCCATAGATTTACATGTTAAAAAATGGTCTGAGCGATCGAGGATACCGTACGTGTGCGAAGAATTGGTCGGTAATTTCAATACAATTGAATCTCGATCGATCTTACCGACAATTTTATCTTGCATTGGTGACATGAAGACGAAAATAAACTTCCAAAAACAAAAAAACAACATCTGCCAATAGATCTTGATCTAAATTCGTGCCAATATGCATTGCAAAAGTAAAAGAAGGGCCTGTTTAATGGAGCAGCCGCGAAGCATCCACCACGCGAAGCCGTTTCAATCCATTTTAATGTATATATAAGAAAAAACTGCAATGAATGGTAACAGAGCGCGATAGCCGAGCGGTTTAAGGCGCTGATTTTGGTTATATCACCTTTTGTACGCAAGAGATCGAATCCCATCTTCGAAAAAAGTTTTTTTTTTTTCTTTTTTCTTTTTTAAAATTTTTTTTTTTGGCATATAAAAGTATTAATAACTGCTTTAATATTCGAGAAATAGTTGTTTTTATACGCTCTCGGGAAGGTTACAATTGGGCTATCACCCTCGGCACGCCTCGGGTAATAGCACAATTCTAACCTTCCCTTGAGCGTATAAAAACAACTATTTCTCTCAAAGCAGTCATTAATACTATATTATTGGCGTGTTGATTGACCTTGTCATAACAGAGCTCTTTATAATGAGGTTCTACTTATTATGTAATGGGAGAAATACATTGATGAGTGAGTCATTGCACTTTTAATTTGTATATATGTATTTTTTTCTATTCCAGTTTGGCAGCCTTTGAGGAATCAGTGGACAGTATTATAACTTTCTCCATCTACTATTCCTACCTGGGTTGTGGAGTACTCGCCCTGGCTTACTTTCAGGTTAGTGTGAAAACGTTGTACCGTAATCTTTGAAAGCTTCTGTGGTGATAACAGAAAGCCACGTATTTTTTCGACAGGGTAAGTTGGCCCTAAAGGGGCTTTCACACCGGGCCTTGCGTAGAGTTGCGTAGTTGCGTACCGACTACGCTGAGCGTACGCTACCCTACGCCAGCCTACGTAACTGTATGCGGAGGGACGCAAATGGGTACGCGAGATGGACGCAAAAAATTAAACATGTTTAATATTTTTTGCGTACCCTTGGCATAGACACTATAAGCGGAAAATACGCAATTTGTACGCAAATCTACGCCACACTACGCAACACTACGCTACTCTACGCAAGTCCGACGAAGCAGTAAAAGCTTGCTCACACAGTAAGCAACCTTATGCAACCGTAAGCAAACCTGTACGCCAGGCCTACGTAAACGTACGCAACCCTACGCTGAAACAACACTGTGCCCATGCACAGGGTACGTAACCATACGCCATCGTACGCCAGCCTACGCGTAATCTACACAGGGACTACGTCGAAGCAACATTTTTATGCCTCCGCCACCGAAGGTGGTGCCGGAGGCATCATGTTTTCGGGTTGTCCGTCCGTACGTCCGTCCGTCCGTACGTCCGTCCGTCCGTCCGTACGTCCGTCCGTACGTCCGTCCCGTTTGACCGTTATCACAATATCTCAAGAACCATTTAAGATTTAAACTTAAGACTCGGGATTGGTATTTATCACCATAGGAAGACGATCTGATTAGATTTTGGAGTACGTAGGTCAAAGGTCACAGGTCACAGAGGTCAACTTATGAAATTCCTTGTATTGAGTTTGTTAGCGCGATATCTCAAGAACCATTTGAGATTTAAACTTCAAACTTAAGGATAGTATGTATCACCATAGGAAGACGATCTGATTAGATTTTGGAGCACGTATGTCAAAGGTCAAGGGTCACAGAGGTCAACTTATGAAATTCCATACATTGAGATTGTTATCATGATATCTCAAGAACCACTGGAGATTTAAACTTCAAACTTAGTGATAGTGTGTATCACTATAGGAAAACAATCTGATTAGATTTTGGAGCACGTATGTCAAAGGTCAAGGGTCACAGAGGTCAACTTATGAAATTCCATACATTGAGATTGTTATCATGATATCTCAAGAACCACTGGAGATTTAAACTTCAAACTTAGTGATAGTGTGTATCACTATAGGAAAACAATCTGATTAGATTTTGGAGCACGTAGGTCAAAGGTCAAGGGTCACAGAGGTCAACTTATGAAATTCCATACATTGAGATTGTTATCATGATATCTCAAGAACCACTGGAGATGTAAAAACTTCAAACTTAATGATAGTGTGTATCACCATAGGAAGACAATCTGATTAGATTTTGGAGCACGTAGGTCAAAGGCCACAGCGCACATTATGAATGCAAAAACAGCTTGTGATCGCGTTATCTCAAGAACCGATTGATGGATTCATGCCAAAATTAGGTCATGTTTGTTACTTGCAGAGCCAATGAACTGAGTAGATTCTTGGTTCATAAGGTCAAAGGTCAAAGGTCATGGGCCCATTATGTATGCAAAAATAGCTTGTGAACGCATTCTCATTAGAACTGACAGATGGATTACTATTTAACTCAGAACATCTTGCAGAGCCAATGAACTGAGTAGATTTTATGGTCATGAGGTCAAAGATCAAAGGGTCATATATGTATATGAGAAATTGCTTGTAATCACAATATTCTGAGAACCTGTCAATGGATTACCATTGAACGTGAATTCAATTTGTTTTGGTTTGTAAAATTGCTCTATAACGGAGGCATCATTTTCGACTGCGCGCAGTCGAATTCCATCTAGTTTTTCATGAATACGCAGCCAATTTCGGCGTAGTCGGTACGCCACACTACGCAACTCTACGCAGATCCGGTGTGAAAGGGGCTTTAAGTACAACCTATCATAATGGTTACTACTTTTAGGGCCAGTGTTACATGTAGGTACATCTTTATTGTTTAGACCAGAAATGTGTCGGATGTGGACTGCAGGCCAATAGACTAGTTCACGGTCAGTAAATGGCTGCAATGACCCCAAATATCCACAGATCTTTAAAACATGAAGAGGTTCCACTTTGTACATTTTGAAATAATCACTCCTACAGTGATGGAGGTGCTACATGAATGGCCTTTGTTTCCCCTTTTCAAAGAATACTTCCACCTGAGTTTCATGGAGTGCACTGCTTAGTACAGAAATGAATAATGATTACATAACTTTCATGAGCACGTATCCAGTATTTTGTCTCCGTGTATTTCACATTTTGTTCTGCAATGACCTTTATCTGCTCATGCTCAGATTGCAACTATGAACTGGCTTATTGTCGCAGGAGCCTATGTTGTACAACCTCGTTTTTTATGAGAGAAATAAAAAATGCAATCTCCAGAACATCTGAACAATCAGTTTTTCATTTTTTATTTTTTTAAATATTTTTGTTTAGGTGGTGCTGTGGGACGTGGCAGCCGAGAGACAGATTCACAAAGTGAGGCTTCGGTTTTTCCATGCCATCCTCCGTCAAGAGATTGCCTGGTTTGATGTCCATAAAGGCGGCGAACTCAACACAAGGCTTGCAGAGTAAGTGAAATAATATTTGAGCTATGGTAATAGACAGATGCTCCTTCCACTATATGGCTCCCCATCCAATTTTCTGCACTACCTGAATTCCTAACTTAAACCCCTGACCCAAATCTATACTTCAATTTAACCCTGATTCTTAAAATAACTTAAAATTAATTACAATAAAAATGATAATTATAACTTCTACTTATATAGCGCTTTTCATAAGAGATTTATATCAAAGCGCTTTACAATATTGATACAAGTACAACTAAACAGAGAAATGACAAGAGAACAAAAGTGAAATTATCAAACATAAGATTAAACAAGGTAAGGTAACAATTTAAGAACTAGGTTGAATATTGCAACCCTAGCTGACCCTATTTTAATGATAAATAAAGCCAAATGCTATTTGCTGGAGCAAAAATTAAAAAATGTAATTGTTTCAATTAGCAACGAGGCATGACTTTAGGTTGCCTCCTGATATTATACATGTACATGATCGATTTTACATGGGCAACTGCTTATTTCAAGCCCTTTGACATTTATTTCATCTCTAATATATATCTGTAAAGTGCTTTGAGAGGGCCTTCGGTCCTGAAAAGGGCTATATAAAAACGAACTATAATAATTATTATATCTGTTGTTTTTATCATGCAGTGACATTGACAAGATCCGCAATGGCATTGGAGACAAGCTTGGCATCATGCTGCAGTACACGGCCACGTTCGTTGCTGGCATCACCATCGGCTTCGTCAAGAGCTGGAAGCTCACCCTGGTCATCTTAGCTGTCTCTCTGATACTCATTGTACCCCTGGTGGGATCTACATCCGTGGTATGTACATGCTTCTTAGCTGGGAGGGGGGGGGGGGGAAGTGAGGGGAGGGAAGGGGAGGAGGAGGAGGGAGAGGAGTGGGGAAGGGAGTGAGGGAAAAGACAAGGGATTGGAGGGAGGAAGAGAGGAAAAGGGAAGGGAAGGAAGAGAGAGAGAGAGAGATAGAGACAGACAGACAGACAGACAGACAGACAGATAGACAGAGAGTGAGAGAGAGATGGGTGAGGGGAGGGGAGAGAAATGGAGGGAAGGGGGAAGGGTAGGGTTCTTTATTGCAAGAACCAGAGCAGTATTACAAATTTACTTTGTACCCTTCTTGAGGAGAATTTAGCACTTGGGTGGAGAGGAGGAGCAATGTAGATCAAACACCTTGCTCACGGAGAAAAGTACCTAACTGGGGCTCAAACCCATTACTTTTTATTTTTTTTATAATTCAGCAAGTGATTTAACCACTCAATTGTGACACCTCTACAATTTTGACGCATCTTGCCACTTTTTTTCTGTTCTCCGTGTAGATTATCCAGCGGATGACCAAGCAAGCCCTGGATGCCTATGCTAAGGCAGGGGCGATCGCGGGTGAGGTCTTCTCAGGCATAAGGACTGTGGTCGCATTCAACGGGGAGGAGAAGGAGATGGTCAGGTAAGAGTTTAAAGGCCTGTCTGTACTAGTTTAGCCAGGGGGATTAGACCACCCAGCGTGGTCACTGACAGGTGGCTATCTCATCAACTCTAGCATAGAATAGGATTAACATAAGAAAAAAGAGGATCATGGGGGACCAACAGGCACCAACGGGCACCACTTAGGCATTGTTTTCAATATAGAGGGAGCAAGTAGCTACAAGTAATACAGTGGGGCTCTAAGTACAATTTTGTCTTTTTAGAGCCAGAAGGCCATTAAATCATTTACTTCAACAAAAGCTTAACCCTTTAGCACCCAGGGGTTAATCAGCCATCTTCTCACTTAAGGAAACCAATTATTTATTAAAGATGTATATCGTAAATAACGGTGTATTAACTACACTCTTTTGCTGCCGAAAAAATTCAAAGTCGGGGGTGCGTCTTATACACGGTACACACAACAACAAAAAAAAAAAAAAATGATTAAGTTTCGATTTATGCCCTCCACCTGGCACTATGCCTGGCAATGTCTCCCAGCTCTGTAATCGGTGTGTTGACTCACCACTTGGAAACTAGAACAACACTCAAATTTGTCTGTCATCTTGGTTAGAAAGTAATCTTTCTGATAGATCTCAATATGTAGTTTATAATAATAATTCCTCCACATTTTCTTCTATTACACGGCGTACCACAAGGTTCTATCCTAGGTCCTCTACTGTTTTTTAATTTACATTAATGATCTTTCACATTCAGCTGCACCTCGCAGTTAAATGAAAGGCCTTCCTGCGTGTGTTTTTTAACACTGACCTGGCTTGCTGCCAACAGAGGGCAAAACAAAAATTTAAGGCGAAAAAGAGGGGTGCGGTTAATACACGAGGGCGGTTTATACACCGTTAATTATGGTAGAGATAATCTTTTCCTTTTGATATTTTTCGAGTACAAGTTTAGTTTGATCAACTCTAAGTTTAGAACAAGGCAAACAATCTTTTGTATTTCAAATTCTGTTAAGCCTCCTTGGTAGGCCCAATCAGATACTAAGATTTTCAGGAGCTTATATCATTTATTTTATCTTATTATTAGTTGTTATGTAATTGTTTGTTATAGTGCATAGAGACTTTGGTGGAAAGCACTTTATAAGCACCATTTTTTAAATTTTTGTAATATTATTATTAACAAAGCTTATAAAACAGAACTCAGGTGTATCTATTAAATGACAGTAACTGAAAGATTAACTTTTCCACATCACAGGAACGATGAGTGAATTTGCTCTAAGCCTTGCTCTGAAAAAGTAGATGATTCATGTAGCTCCGGTAAGTGCTCTGGTAACAAACAAAAACAAAGGAAACTTAAAAATTAATAACAGGAAATATCTTTGAGATATTTGTAGACGATCCAAAACAAGCTCCTGTGAAGAAAACCATTTTGTTTTTCCTTCTCACTGTTCCACATACAGGTACTCCAGCAACTTGGACCAAGCTAAATTAAAGACGGTCAAAAAGGATTTTGCCACACTACTTGCCCAGGGCTTCCTTTTCTTCTCCATGTTCTCCAGCTATGCCATTGCCTTCTGGTGAGAACACACCCATTCCAAAGTGCAAATGTTTTGTTTTTGTTTTTGTTTTTGTTTCAAACACCATATGATCACTCTTGGTCATTGGATCAATGTGTACTATCTCTTTCAATGAAAATAAATTCCATGTTTAGAACTTAACTTTCCATTCAATGTTCGAAATTTCTAAAATCTTGTAAGTCAACATGAATGTTCTCTGTGACTACAAAAAACATTCAAAGTAATTATTCTTAGATGCTGCCTAAAAAAGATAACCAACAGTCTTTTTCAGGACTACACACACTCAAGAAAGAAAGAAAGATTACCGAGAGTCCTTTTCAAGACTCCCCAATCCACCCCTCTCTCACATGGTGCATCCGTAAGCCTACTGTGTAATTATTCTTGTATTCCAAATCTTTGGGTTGAGGTTTGAAATGTAGTATTATGTGTATCAAAATATATATTGTGCTGCTCTTCTTGCCTTTGAGCCCAATTTTAGGCTAGTTCACACTGTAGCATGTGTCAGACCACTTCCATAAAGGCTTGTTCAGATATGGTAAGGTAAACCGCAGCGATTTAAAAAAATAATACTTCAAATGAATGGTAACTCTACGCAACCAGGACTTGCACGTATTCACTGAGCTCTATGTTATAAGATACAACAATTTTGTCGCATCATTTCTGAACTAGCCTTAACTTTACCAATGAAATATGTAAGGTTTGACTTGTATTTCCAAGAATGCCAATGCTTTTTCGTTTGATTTCACTTCTAATATTTCTGTTTTCCACCCTACCGATCATAATACAGGTATGGCACAGTTCTGTATTTAGATAATGAAATTACACCTGGAGATATCCTAACGGTAAGCAAGCCAAGTTTGTTTTATATTCATTTTATTTTTGTGTATTTTGTATTTTTCTTCACTTTATCGAATCTTGTAAATATGTGATTATCATGATTTGTTTTAATAAAATACAAAAAGAAAAGGGACTAGGGACTTAAAGTTTTTTTTTTTTAAAGACCAAGATCTTACAAACAGGGACCCGTTTCACAAAACTTGTCATCAGTGACAAATGACAGTCTTTGTTATAAGCTACTGAAACACTTGTATCTGATTGGTTATCAGCAGATTTGTCACTGATTTTTGTCATTTGTCATTGAAAAAAGGCTTTATGAAACGGGTCCCAGATCTTAAATCTTGCCTTCCTTGATTCATTTTCCTCTGCAGACATTCCTGGCTGTGCTCTTTGGTGCTTTTGCCATTGGCCAAGCGGGTCCAAACTATAGTGACTTCACAACAGCTCGGGCGGCTGCATCTAGCATCTGGGAAGTCATAGACCAGGTGAGAATCCTTGAATACCTTCTCTTTTTCTTTTATTTTCGTTTTTTTTTCTTTTCTTTTCCATTTTTTTTTTCTTCAGTTGATTTCCCTGTCTGTTATAAAATCTTGTCAGACTGTCAGGTTATTATTATTATTATTATTTCATTTGCTGAAGCAACGTGTAAATAATATATCATGAGCAATGTTTTACAGGAGCTAAAACAGGGAATCTAATCGCTGTTTTCCATGGGTATTCAGCTCCATTGCTTAGAGCAAGAATCGCATGACATTACATCAGTAAAGAAAGTGTTTTCGTGAACGTTGTAATTTATCTCTCATTCCTTTCTGCTGCGATTAAAGTTTTGTAAAATTGAAAACGTGTTTGCCAAATAAGAGCTTTTGAACTTAGTACTATGCTTCCTGCAAAAATATATACCATTTTTCTTGACCCGGAGTACAGCCCAGAAATAATGACTACAACGGATTTCAGTTGGCGCACTAAGGCATTGTATCACGATACTGTCACAAGCCCAAGTTTACCAACATCCCATTGACATTTGTATGATTATTAAAGCAATACTGCACTAGTGCAAAATCGGCACTAGTGCCATCCATCTCAGGACAGCTGTAGCAGTATGGTCCTGTAACTTGCTGCTTCCTTAGCGGCACTGTTGGTTCTTGTATTGAGTTCTCTGTCTGCGAGATTGAAATCAGGTATTGGGTTACACGCTGTTGGCAAGTTGACCATGAGATGGCGCTGTGCAATAAACAGTACGCTAGGGCAGAAAGTTCATCAGTTCAGTATCGCTTTAAAATTAAAATGTGTTTTTAATAGTGGGATGTTTGCTTACTTGGACTTCAGACATTTTCATGAAACAATGCCCAGGGTATACCATTTAAATCATCAGATATGGAATTATGAAACTGAAATGAATTTTTCGTGCCTTCCCAGATCCCTACCATCGACTGCTTCTCGACCGACGGAAAGAAGGAGAAGATTACCGGACAGGTGACCTTTGAAGGGGTCCATTTCTCGTACCCGTCCAGAGCATCGGTCAAGGTGCTCAATGGGATCAACCTGAAGGTGGACGTTGGGAAGACGGTGGCCATGGTCGGCAGCAGTGGATGCGGGAAGAGCACCTGCATCCAGCTCATCCAGAGGTTCTATGATGTTGCTGAAGGCAGTGTAAGTTCTTCTTCTTTACGGCCCATGTCCTGAGACGTTGGAGACCATGGAATGCCACAACTCTCTGTCCCATATTCTATGAAGTAATTCATTCTCCCTGAGATCAATTCCACTTTCAGAAATTCACTCCTTAAGCTACTCATCCACAGACTCCTCCCTCTCCCCCTACTCCTCCTCCCCTCTATTCTTTGAGTCAGTGCAAGATTCTTCAAACCATTCTTTCGAATAACATGACCCAAGAAGCTCTGCTGTCAACCTCTTATATTACTCAGAAGCTTTCGTCTTGTTCCTGCTAACACAAATAACTCTTTCTGTCCATGGAATTCTAAAGCATCCTTCTTAGGAACCAAACCTCACAACTTCCCAGTCGCTTTCTTAAGTACTTGATCAAATTCTGTTCACTTCACCATATGTACTGGTGATGACTGCTTCCTTTGGTCCGTTGGTTATGGGAATTCTGACAATCATCCCTGGACAACAGACTTTGACTCAGATGTATCTTTAGCAACAAAATTTTTTTGGGGCTGTGGGATGTGAGAAAAATTGGTACATGTACATGCGATCTATAAAGCCTACCATAAATGAATCTTAAAGGGATCGTTTAACATTGTTAAATCTGAGATACACGGCCCTACATGTTATTAGTGTCTGTGATATGGTGTAATATTGAAGCCCTAAAAAAATCGCGCTTCAAAATGATCAAGAAGTGCCTCAAAAAAGTAAAAATCTTTGAGTGACCGGTTTTACCATACTCGTTTTCCCTAATAGACTGTAGTGTTATAAAAACCGTCAGGCGAACGGTTTTCAAAATTTGTAATTCCAATCATAAATATCTTGATAATAAGACAGGCGTTCGGCTTGTAAAAGTCATGGGGTTCCTGACTGACCTAAAAATTTATAATTATCATTGCATCATGAGCTAAATCCAGAATTTTGTTTCAGAATCTGAGACAAAGTTACCGGATCCCTTTAAAAACAACAACAAACAACAAGCAAACAGTCAAGTCTAGGAGAAGGAAGGACTTGCTTTAGGAAGGGAGATCACTGCAGTTCATAATGTAAATTATCAACCACCATTTTAAAAAAAGGCTACAATATTTGCTGACGTAAAGGCCGCAGTATTTTTGGAAGAGAAAATATCAAAAAGTCTGGGTGCGGCCTATGCGCAACAACAGTCGAAACAGCACGTATTCGTAGATATTTGGGACTAAGCTAAGTACAATGACTATACCAGTTATTGAACAATGGTACAGGACATTTTTTAGAATAACTCCACACATGTCTTACCGACAATTCCGTGTTATACTGTTGACATGAAGTTTTGTCAATCTCGTGAATAAACTTCATAACTTACCAACCAATATCTACCGGTAGATCTAGATCTAAATTTGTGCCATCGCTAAAGCAACCTCAATCCTCGCAGTACGAGCTATGGCGCAATACACGATCGACTGTGTAACTGCGGCTGAAGAGAAAGCTCAAATAATACATCATCTGGCTTGCTGCCTACGTTGTCGGCGAAAAAGCAAAACAAAATTTTTTTTTTTATAATTAATTTTTTTTTTTCTTCAAAATGTCAAAATCAGGGTTTCGGCCTTAATGCCGGGAAATACGGTAAACAAATTATTTTACCATTTTTGCTGCCTTTTGATGTTCGTACACTTCTATTGCAGAATTCTTCTTGCGTATGATCTGCCCTCTCTTAATCATAACTCACTTCCATCTCTCCGTGATCAGATCAAAATTGACGGCATCGACATCCGTGACCTCAACGTGAGCTGGCTTCGTGATCACATCGGTGTCGTGAGCCAGGAACCGATCCTGTTTGCGACCACGATCGAAGAGAACATCCGCTACGGACGTCTTGACGTCACCCAGGCAGAGATTGAGAAAGCCGCCGAGGAAGCCAACGCCCATGACTTCATCTCCAAACTTCCAGAGGTATATATAGGCATTGTCCTGTAAAACCAGAAACTTTCACATGCAAGAAATTTCAACATATTTGCAAAAGATTCTGCTGCAAAAGTAATTCTTTCACTTTAAAAAGAAGAAAATCATTTGTTATACCTCTGTTCCATTACGAAGTAGCCGTGTTGTCCGTCTGTATGTCCCTTTCTCGTGATCGCATTATTTTTGTTTTGGTTTGTAAAATTGCTCTATGGCGGAGGCATGTGCGCAGTTGAAGATCCATCTAGTTTACTTCAATTTTCCAAGTCTTGAAAAAGGCAGTTATTCACAAATTATGAAACGTTTCTTGTCCCAAATGTTTCGTATTGTGGATATTCACAGGTCTTCAACCAGTTTGAAAGGCACCAATGCCCAACAACTGACATCATACCAGATGGTAAACCTGACTTTTTACCTCAGGCTTTATTTTGTCAGTGATATGGAACTAAGGAAGGGTTCCACATTAACTTTTTGAAAGGGGTTTCAGATTTAAACATTGCATAATCTGTATGCATGTGGCCTATGTTACAATTTTGATATACTTTGGTTTGGATAAAGTGTTTGTGCACCCATGTGCCCTAGGCACCTGTCAGTGTTGATCTCTGTTCAGGAATAAGGTAGTAGTCAGGTCTTAGATTAGGTTTCAGACAGATATAGGTTAGAAGTTCATTAAAGTATCCCATTAAAGCTCGCCTGTACTAGTTTGGCCAGGAGGGATTAGACCTCCCTGCAAGGTCAGACTGACAGGTGGTATCTCATCAAATCAGCTCTCAATTAACATACAAAAAGGGAATCATTGGGGAACAACGGGCACCGCTTCGGTATTGTTTGCTATATAGAGGGCGCAAGTAGCTACAAGTAGTGCAGTCCTGCTTTAAGAATTCCTGCCCTCAACAGGAAAGTACCCTCCTAACTATCCCAACCATTCCCCCTCCCCCACTTACTCCAGGGTTACTCCACATTGGTTGGAGAGCGTGGAGCTCAGCTGTCCGGTGGTCAGAAGCAGAGGATAGCCATTGCAAGGGCACTGGTCAGAAACCCTACAATCCTACTCCTGGACGAAGCCACATCGGCTCTAGACACGGAGAGTGAAGCTACCGTTCAACTCGCCCTCGAAAAGGTAAGAATGGCTGGGGCTCGGATTACATGCACATATCATCTGTGTAGAACCAGGGGGGTCTTTCACAAAGACTAAGATCGACTTTAAGTTGGACTTAACTATGGCAGGCCGTTCATGCCACTAGTTGCTCTCACCATTGGTCTCTCAATTATGATCTTTAGATAATATTTTTTCCTTCAATAATGAACTATTAAAAAATGTAGATTTGTGACCATGAATTGTATTTCCCTTGAGAGGCCAATGCCAGTAAATGGTGAGAGCAAACAGTGGCACTCCGTTGCCAGTTTACCAAAGATTAATCAGGAAAACCCACATTATTGTGTAATCTATCTATCTTCCACTGTTTTTTTTCCCAGCTTTCCAACTCTATACAAAATTCTGGTAAATTACTTTGGAAAAAATAAAGATTACATCATTGCTGGCAGCGTTTTATGCTTTTAAACTGAATATATATCGAGGGGTCAGTGACACAAAGACGTAACTCCATTTTGAAAAAAAGTGGTTGATGTGTCACTGAGCACTTGGGCCTTAAGGAGTTAAGTCTATGTTTCACTAGCCATTGACTTCAATGGGGTGTTGGATGGAGTTAAGTCTTTGTGTTTCCTGGAAAGCCCACATTTTTCTGAACATTTTGATATCGTATACTCATTTTGGCAAAATATGGAGTTACGTCTTTGTGTCACTAAACCCTCGATATAATGAAGATATAAGTTGACCCTTGTAATGTATTGTCTTTGTTTAGGCCCAGCATGGTCGAACCACCCTCGTCATCGCTCACCGTCTCTCAACCATCTTCAACTCTGACCTCATCTGCGCTTTCAAGGAGGGCGTCATCTCCGAGCAGGGCACCCACGAAGAGCTGATGAAGAACGAGGGCGGTGTTTATCACACGCTCGTCATGAAGCAGGGCATGAAGAAAGAGGAGGAGGAGAAGAAAGAGAACGAGGTTCCGCTCGATGATGATGATGACGAAGAGGGTAAGTTCTAGTACCTGTAATGATAGTTATGATAAAAATAATAAATATGACGATGATGATGTGATGCTGCTGATGATGGTGATGATGACGATGATGATAATGATCAAAGTGTCATAGTTGAGTGGTTTAACCACTTGACTTGAAATTTAAAGGTCGTGGTTCAATCCCCAACACGGCACTAATGTCCTTTGGCAAGACATTAATCTTCATTTGCCACACTCGACCAGGGCGAGGTAAAATGGTACCTGGCAGGAATTAATTCCTTGAAATGCTGAAGCGCTGTAATGGCAGCTAGGCTAAAGCCAGGGTAATAATAAATGCGCCTCGGAATAGAATTTCTAGATAGTCGGTGCTATAAAAATGCCTAGTATTATTATTATTATTTTTATTATTATTGATGATAGTTATGATAAAAATAATATTTTTGATAACTAAGATGATGATGATGATGTGATGCTGCTGTTGATAGTGATGGTAATGGTGATGATTATGATGATGGTAGTGATGATGATAATGGTATTGATATTCAATTAGATTGGATATCACTTATTTTCAACCAAGGCTGATCAGCATTACCCTAGGTTTAGCTATATGAGTATGGACTCCCGCAGAGCTCACATCATTCAAGGAATCCCCCTACTCCCCCTACTCCCTCCTACCCCCCCCCCCCCCCCCCCCCCCCCCCCCCCACACTCCACCCCTACTCCACCACATGCAGGCCTAGAATTCTTTGTCTGAAGACACACAAAACTAGACTAGGATTTGAATTCTCAGGACTAAAAAGAAAAATCTGATTGGAGTCATGATTACGTTCACCTTGGTTTTCTACTTAGCTCTGTGTGTCTGCATCACCATCTAAAAAAAAAAAAATCAAAAAATTTAGATTTAAATCTAAATCTGAATCTAAAAAAAAAGAACATAAAAAACGATTGGTAACATTGAATCTTTGAACTCTCTTTTTCTTAATGTATATATATATGACTGAAACAAATGCTGTAGTAGTTATACCCTTTGTTTGCCAGAAATGGTTAACGTCATTGCATTTTAAACCATGCACATTTGAAGATAAACTTTAATACTGAAAATCATTGTAGATTGAAAGTAGACATATATTTTTAAGATTTAACATGAGTTGTGTATTGTAATGTTTATTTCCATAAAATGCTGTTTTCATTTAGCTAAACAATAACACATGTAAAGTGAACAATATTTAAAAACTTCCCTTGTATACTTGCTTATATTCCTCACTTTCACCCAATGCTACCCAAAAGTTGAAACATTGATCATTACTAAACGGCCCCCTAGTGCCGTAAGAGGTAAAAGTGAAGAAGAAGGTAAGTTGCTTCAGTAACACGACAGTTACACTGATGACATCGACACCAGACTAACATCAGAATGTCAACAGGCTGATACCTAACTGACACCAGACTGACATCAGACTGACATTAGAGCAGCACCAAATTAACACCAGACTATGACCGGACCAACACCAGACCAACACCAGATAAACACCAAACATTAGATCAACACCAGACTGATGTCAGACCAATACCAGACCGACACCTAACCTACACCAGACCGACACCGGACTGACGACGGACCATCACCAGTCTATTTAACACCAAACACTTAACACCAGACTAACTTTAGACCGTTGTCAGACCATCATCAGTCTCACACTAAACACCTAATCAACACCAGAGAAACTCTAGACAGTTGTCAGACTGACACCCGCACCATCACCAGTCTAACATTAAACACCTAATGAATTTCAGACTAACTCTAGACCAAAGTCAGACCGATACCAGATTGACACCTGACCGACACCTGACCGACACAAGACAAATATAAGACCAACACCTGTCCAATATCAGACCTTGACTGATATGAGACAGTAGGCCAAATTAAGACCAACACCAACACCACATTGTCACCATAGCATGGCATAGATGTGCATAATACAGTGTAGAATAGAGTTGAGCTAATAGATGGAGAATTAGAAACTTTTAGGGTAACAACGTGCATTTATCCTCATTAGCAAGATATGCAAGACTTCAAACAATGTTATCTCACTTTCTTTGTAGGCTATTTATGGAATACCTGACATAGCAACTGGTATTGAATTCATGAAATATTATGAGGTGATATTGTTTGAATGCTTGTAATATTGCTATGAGAAAATGAATCTTGTGCTACCATATAGTTCTGGATGTTCATCGGAAAAACTATAAATGTTCTTTATTATGTGTTGTTTTCAACCAATCTTAATGTAATCTTGAGTTCTGGTAATAATGGCAGGTAAATTTGCAAAGAATAAGATGAAATTTAAACTGGATGTTTCCAAAAACAAGCCATCTGATTCACTTGCTGGAGCCATCTCTCTAGATAATAAGATTCCAGGAGGAGGAGGGGGGGGGGGGGGGGGGGGGGGGGGGTTAACAAAGATTTTAAGTTGAATTTTCTACAATTTATTTTAAAAGGCATACAATGTTGACTCAAATCATTCATATTTTCTATTATCAAGGAGATTTCATGGTCTTGATGTGGAATTAATAAAGAGTCTAAAATACATGAATTTTCACTTTTTTAAATATTTTTTTAAGGCTACAAATGGCTCTCCATAATGTTTAAGTCCAACTTAGAGTTAAGTTTGACTAAGGATCTTTGTGAAACACCCCCCAGGACCAGACCTCAAGTTTAGCTTTAATTCTCACGCTTCCCCAGAATATCAATGATTTACATCATGTTACACCCCTTTATGTCACTAGTTATCTTTACAATATACAAAAGCAGTAAGATTTTTTCGTTGTATTCCATCTACTCGTCCTTTCTTTATTTGCATGTTTGCATGTGCATGTGGTGAAACATATTTATTTTGAAAAGCGTATGTGTAAATTTCTGCATGTTTTGCACAATTTTGTGCACTTGCCTTTTGTTTAAAATTGTTACCATTCAATGAACCATCTCCCCCTCTAACCCATGGGGGAGGAAATTATCAACGGATTTTGTAATTAGTCTTTTTTGATGCATTACATTGGTTTTCCTTTCCTTTCATTAAAAAAAAATATCTTGCTTTCCCAAAGTTTCTGTTCACTATTGTGTACCTAGTTTTAGTTAACATTTGTATTTAGAAATACATTATGTTATTTGTTACTTCCATATCCATATTTCTTAAGGTAATTGTGTATGGTATTTTTATTACATGTATTTGCATCATAAATATGTATGATCTAAGATCCCATTATAGGTTATTGTGTTGAGGTTGGTTTTACTTGTAGAGAGACAAAGTCATGTGGAATGTAATTTCATAATTTAAACTTGCAATATTTCATTAGAGAAGTGATATTTAAAGGTAAAGACCAGTTTTGGAAACGCCCCCCTCTCAAAAAATGAAATGGAAGCTCTTATCACCAGTCATGTGAAAGAATATGTTTTGACTAATACATGATGATAAAAAATTTGTCGGGAAACCACCTACTAATTGATATATTTGGTAAATTAGTTTATCTATTTGGACGTGATAGATATAATGCACGTGTCGCGCACCTGTGCGTAGTCCCATATACATCTTTCTGTGTACAGTGCTTGTAACTTTACAAAGACTGGGCCAAATTTCTTATCATTTTGATGATTACAGAACCTTGCAGTACACACCAATACTTATATGCTAGATGATCAACCTTTTCTGATCGATTCCACGTTTCTTTCACAGTGCAATCGCATGACCATAACTGGTCTTTATCTTTAAAGCTGATATTTGATTAGATGTCATCATCCTGGACCTCCAAACAAACTAGAGCATGAAGAGTTCTGGTGGTTGTTGTTCTCTATAATAAACCCAGCTCAGAGTTTTCTAAAGTTCTAAAAAATGAATCAGCTTTGCCTCATCAAACTCCACCAATTTTTTCCCTTTTTTTCATCTCATAAAGTTCAAGACAAGTCAGTATAACCATTGAATGATCTATTGTGAATGCATGATTGAGATTACAAATTGCAATCAAAGTTTGCACATTTGTACATATACATAGTGTTTACAATTTCATTTTGTTTTGCCTGTTTAGAGTCTTTAATGATTGTTTGCAATGAAATTGTTTTTATTTGTAAAGGCTGCAACAAAATGCATTAGAATTTATGAGTGACTGTTGCTCTTTCTGCTCATCTGGGACCCGTTTCACAAAGCCTTTTTTCAATGACAAATGACAATAATCAGTGACAAATCTGCTGATAACCAATCAGAAGCAAGGATTTCAGTAGCTTATAACAAAAAACTGTCATTTGTCACTGATGACAAGTTTTGTGAAATGGGGCCCTGTTAATATGTGTAATTCATACATGTAACATTCTGGTTTTTTTTTAAATGCGTAAATGTCACAAAAGGACAACATTTGAGTTAATTTTTTCTTTCTTTCTTTCTTTTTGTCTTCCTCTCAAAGATGATAGCCAAGGTGAGAAGGTCTACAGAGCAGGCTCTGGAAAGAAGAAGCTGACACGGGTGCTATCACGGACACAGTCACAGATGTCTGGAGATGAAGAAAAACAGGTATAATGCATGCATGCGGCTTTGCCTCATAGACCCTTTGTGAGATTATAGGGGAACACAAAAGCGGTCTTTGTAGGCAGGTGGTCTTTGTAGACAGGTTCCTCTAGTACATGTTTCATTGAGAAACCATTTTCAGGGAAAGAAAAATGTGATCTTTCTAGACAGGTAGTCTTTGTAGACAGGTGGTCACTAAAGCAGGTTTGACTATATATGGCATTTATAAGGCACAGAAACAAAATCAAATGCTCAAGGTGCACTTGTAAAATAAAAACCCAAAAGAGATCACATAAAAGCATCTGCATTATACAGCACTATACAGATGGATGCAATAATGAATTTACAGGGGATTAAATCAATGGTTTGATGAAAACATATTAAAATTCACAAAAGTAATTTTTGTTGTTGCTTATCTTGCATTACAGTTACCTACATATAAGTGAAAATCATGTCTGTCCTCACACATTGAAATATTCCCCTCCCTTAACCGCCATCTTCTCTTTGAATTCCAGGATGAAGACGAGTATGAGAAGGAGCTTGAGAAGCATTTCAGCATGATGCGAGTCTGGAAGCTCAACACCCCAGAGTGTGGTTTCATCCTCCTTGGATGCATTGGGGCCGCAATCAATGGGGCCGTCCAGCCGGGATTCGCTGTCGTCTTCAGTAAGATTCTCGGGGTAAGGCAAGATAATACAAAAGAATGAGCTACCTGTGGGGTTATGAAGAAGAGGAGGAAAGACAAATGTGCATTAGAAAGGAGATATATATAAGCATGAGAGGGCACAAAAAACTTCAATAAAAACAAATGATTACGGACAGGAGATGGTTTCTTGCACATTTCATTATGGGCTGTGCTTATTGAAAACATAACAATAGAGCGTCATTGTCCTGAACTTTGCGATCAATGCCTCGCTTGTAATTGTTTGCGCACAGGCTGTCTAGATCCTGTTTACAATTGCCACTATTTGTGTTTCCCTTGGGCGATCGCTATAGACAGGTTTGACTAGTAGAAATAGAAGTAGGAACAGCAGCAGCAGTAGTTTTGTTGTTGAATTAGCAGTAGTAGCAATAGTAACCTCTTACTTTTCCATTTACTCCTCCTCCCCTCCTCTTTTCTTCTTCCTATTCCTTCTTCATTTCCCTTTCCTTTTTGTTGTTCTCCTTTTTCTTTTTGTTCTTATTCTTCTTTTTCATCTCCTCCTCTTCCTCCTTTATCTTCATCACAATTTTGTAATCTATTCATTTCATGTTATACAATCCCACACAAAGCCTTCGCTTGTCATCAGACACGCTATTGCTTCATACACCTAGAATAAAACGTGCTTGGGGCGATCAGGCTTTCTCAGCCATGGGTCCGAAACTCTGGAATGAACTCGCTCTACAAATACGTCAACTGTTGTCAACAGAAATATTCAAATCACAACTGAATTTTTTTTTTTTTTTTTTTTTTTTTAGGAGATTTTTTTTCTTTCCATTCTTATGTTTGTTACATGTGTTTTTCTCTAAGCGCCATGAGCGCTGAAAGGTGGACCTGTGCGCTATACAAGTAGCCACTATTATTATTATTATCATTATTGTTTTACTTTCAGGCTTACAGTATTACAGATAGAGCTGCCCTCTTTGATGAAGTGACTATATACTGTGTTCTGTTTGCTGCCCTTGGCCTACTCTCCTTACTCGCCAGTATCATACAGGTTAGCTATAAAGACCCTATCCAATTAATGCCTGGATTACATTTGCCCCGGGCGCCGTACGATAAATTAGTCTACAAATTTTTGTAGACATCGTAGGAGGCTATGTGCTACCATGTTTGTGTTTTCATTATCTACTAGCATCGTGCCATTTATTGTATTGGCCCTCGGGGGCAGGCCGGGGCAAATCAGTACAGAGGCTTCCCGGAAATTGTACGGAAATCGTGCAATTTGAATGCTCAATATCACGGATACTGCACGGGCAGCGAGCAGCAACCTTGCGATAGCTGTGGAATGGTCGTATGAATGCCCCACGAGTCTACAATCTCTGTACAATTATTTTTTGCCCCCATGTTCCCCGAAAAATCGTACCTTTACGTTTGCTGCGCAATCAGTGCGAGACCTCTGGGCGATGCCCGAGCGGGGGGATTGTGCAATGCCACCTACGACATGTATACGGGCTACGGGCTTACAATTATTTTTTCAAATTTGTTTAACTTCTCGTGAAACAAAATCGTAAAGGCTGCGGAGCCGTGAATCCGTACGAAAATCTCACGACCGCCTCCTGCCTCCGCACAGAGGCCGCATGGAAAAGGGGATACGGACAGGATACGGGCTTCGTAGACTAATCGCAGGCCAAATGTAATCCAGGCATAAGATACAACTTTATATCAATGGAAAGCTGAATGAATGTAGAATACAAATATATCTAATTGTATCCCCGGCAGTATGCCGGTAGGGTACTTTGGATTCAGCAGCGTTACGCCGCCGCCGCCGCCGCCGCCGCGGACGCGTCCGCCGCCGCATCATATTCTTGTGTGCGCTCTCACTGCCACATTTCTTGATGGATTTTTTTCAAATTTTGTATGGAGGTGTATCCTGGTATAATCTACATACCTATAACTTTTGGTGATGCTGCCCCCAGTGTTCCGCCTTCTATAGGGTACAAGGCCATATTTTTGTTTGTGTGCGCTCTTTAGGCCACATTTCTAAAGGGATTTTGTTCAAATTTTGAACAAAGGTGTATCTTGGTATAATCTACAAGCCTATAGATTTTAGTGATGCTGCTTCCAATGTTCCGTCTTTTATAGGGTCAAAGGTCATATTTTGATAGATGTCTTGTGTGCACTCTAGTGTGCGCTCTAACTGCCACATTTCTCTACGGATTTCTTTCAAATTTTGTATGGAGGTGTATCCTGGTTTAATCTACATACCTATAACTTTTGGTGATGCTGCCCCCAGTGTTCCGTCTTCTATAGGGTACAAGGCCATATTTTTGTGGATGGTTTGTGTGCGCTCTATAGGCCACATTTTTAAAGGGATTTTGTTCAAATTTTGAACGAAGGTGTATCTTGGTATAGTCTACAAGCTTATAGATTTTAGTGATGCTGCCTCCAATGTTCCGTCTTTTATAGGGTCAAAGGCCATATTTTGATAGATGTTTTGTGTGCACTCACATTTCTTAACAGATTTCTTTCAAATTTGTATTAAGGTTCATTATAGTTTACTCTAGACCTCCACAAATTTGGTGCTGCTACCCCCCAGTGTACCATCTCTTATAGGGTCAAAGGTCATTTTTAAAGGAATATCTTGTGTCGCTATGCAAATCACATTTCTTTCAAATTTTCTATAAATATGCATCATAATCTGATCTACACACCTATTGTTTTGGTTATGCTGCTCCTAGTCTTGACAATAGTCTGAGCCACTTGCGGCAATCTCTACGTCATCCTTTTGTTTCACAAAGAGGAGAGGGAATCTTTGTCCCTCCTTCCACATAAGGATAACACAAAATCGCTGCCACTGCCGGGGGATACATTCGCATTGCGCGGCAATACAGATTGCGATATTTCTAGTTAATTTTTCCTTTTGGTATTACACAAAATCAGAATACAACCTTGATTTTCCATAAATTACTGGTCAACATGGGTCAAATTTGCGGCAGTAACGGTTGACGACTAAACATGTGGACCTGATCGGCTCGCCTGTATAGCTGACGTGATGGGCCGTGCTTGGTTAACGCAAAGTCATTGTGAATATATGTACTCCACATTAGATAATGTCATTAAGTCAATAGCTAGTTACTCGTCTGACAAACACTTAAATACAGTCAAACCTGCTTTAGTGACCACCTGTCTACAAAGACCACCTGTCTACAAAGGCCACATATGTTGTTTTCCTTGAAAATGGTTTCTCATTGAATCATATACTAAGGGAACCTGTCTACAAAGGCTACTTTTTGTGTTTCCCTTGGGTGGTCGCTATAGGCAGGTTTGACTGTAGCATATATATATGATATCACTGTAATCTATGGCTTATAAGCTTTCCGTTGATATATATAATTTGTCTATTTAATTATTCACTTCCGACAGGGTCTTTAACTGTGACAGGAACTGCATTTGTAAATGATATGTAATGTAGCTGTTCATGCCGTCCTAGGATAGAAATGGCTATAATCATTTCTATCTCAAACTCTGAATTTCTTTGGTAAAGAGTTGCAATTTTGATGTGAATTGACTAATTTTTATGAAACTGCTTTGAACTGCAGTGCACTGCACAGAATAGGAACAATAATGATTTTACAAATGTAGCAATACCCCAATCCCATCAACAAGACCGACAAAAGACTAACTACAAATTGAATATAAAAATTTCATTACGCGTATTAAGGCCAAGAATTGTTCACTTTGGCGGCTTTGACTGAGGTGTTACAAAAAGGATAAATATCTAAACACTCACCTCTTCTGTTAATAACATAATCGTAAAACGCATTTGAACATATATAGAGAAATTCGCTATTGATTTATTTTTGACTTGGGCCGTCCACACCATCACTGGGATGTATGATGGCTTCTGTTTCACAACGGCTTGCCACGCCTTCCTTTCCTCTGTCAGCCTAGTGGCTTTAGTCAGGAAGTCAAGTTGTCTGATGTTGCAGTCCATTTTGATACAGTCTGTTCATCTCTGAGCTATAGAGATTCATTATTATTTTATTATTATTGTGATGTTTCTTTCCAGGGTGTTGGATTTGGCAAGTCCGGAGGTGAGCTGACACTGAGGCTTCGTAACATGATGTTCAGAGCTATCCTAAGACAGGTAAGATATTTACATTTTGGTCCTTCAGAACCAGAAGACAATATATACATTTATATATATGTATTCTGTATATAGTTTATCTTAGCTATATAGTTCAAGTTTTTATTTAGCTTTTTTTCATAACACACATTACAAATATGACATGAATATAACAAGTTGACAGAATATGGCGTTACAATAGAAAGATGAGGTGACCTTGGTTGAAAGCGAGGCTTGTGGAATTCGGGTCCCTCATGAGTAGCTTATGAGTACAGTATGTCCTAAATTAACATATATATATATATGGTCCTCAGTTTTATACTATCGTCAGGTGTTTTTTAATATTGATGCTGTTGAGAGCCTGGCTCTGAACATACAATATGTACATCTATATATGGTCCTCAGTTTTATACTATTATTATTCTAAAAAATTTAATTTATTAATGCTGTTAAAGGCCAGAAGGGTGTTAACGCTCTGTTTTAAAGTACCGGTATCAGAGTTAATACCCTTCTGATTCCGAACAGATGATTTTACGTAATATCTATTTATGTACCCAAGTCTTTAGACTCTAAGTCATTTGAGGTCTTGCAACAAAAAACAAAACAAAATCCAAAAAAAATTGATGTGAAGCTGCTAACCATTAGTTACAGTACATGTAAAGGTACAATAAAGGTACAATAAAGGTATTATTATTTCTAATGTTGGACCTTCAAATATTTGTAATAAACCCTAGATTCCTGTTTTATCCAATATTTTTTCTATAATACCAAAGTACATTTTATTCCTCATTGGCTTTCATAGCTCACTAATCTTTGCTGTGGAAGGTTGGCTAAAACAGTGAAACCTGTTTATAAAGACCACCCGAGGGAGACAAGAAAAGTGGTCTTCATTTATAGGTGCCTATAGTACATGTTTCAATGAGAGACCATTTTCAAGGGGGGAAAAATGTGGTCTTTATAGACAGATGGTCACTAAAGTAGGTTTGACTGTATTTGCGTTTGTGTGTATGTACATGTATAAATTAAAAGTCCTTGATTAAATTCAATTTATATTTCACTGTGTCATAATATCTTCCAAATTTCATAATGAGCGATACAAATCAAAGGCAAATTTCTGATGGGTATGAAATATTTATGTTATCTTTACTTTGCTTTCTTAGAACATTTCTTTCTTTGATGACAAGAGGAATGGAACCGGTGCCTTGACAACTAAATTGGCGACGGATGTCTCTCTGATACAAGGGGTAAGACTACACATTTCTCTACCAAATCCATTTTTATGCTTTGACTTTAAATGTTGCATAATGAAATGATAAATTAAAGAGAAGGTTGAGTTCTGGGAAGAGGTTACAAATAATTTGTGAACGTTATCATTGTATTATGCAAGTGTGGAAGAACATCAGATAAAAAATATTCCCTGAAACGCATGGCTCTTCAAGTGCCTTAATATTCTAAATATTGCATGTAACATCATAAATATCAGGACGGATTTTTATGGCTCTTTCTGCGAGCGCGGACACCATACAGTGCTTTTTGTCTGCGATTCCCAAATGATTGAAAATTTCAGTCATTTTTCAAATTAAGATTATTGTGTCTCAGATTTTCTGTGTTGTTTTAACCAATCTTTATTCAATAAAAAGATAAGGTAAGAATTCTTGGTAGATTTTGTTTCAATTCGGAATATAAAAGACATATCGACTGCTTTAATATTCGAGGTCTGCCTGAGGCGCGCCTGTCTTTTATATGCCGAATTGAAACAAAAATCTACCAAGAATACTCACCTTATACTTTTATTGACTAAAGGTTGGTTAAAACATCATGGAAAACCTGAGACACTGTCTGTTAATCTTCACTGGAAAAATGACTGAAAGTTTCAATCATTTGGGAGTCGCAGACAAAAAGCACTGTATGGTGTCCACGCTCGCTCAAAGACAATTTTCACCCGCAAACCAATGGAACTTGCAGCATGAGGGCATTTTTTAAAAGACTATTGACTGGTAGGCGAGTATGAGGGCATGGCTAAAATCACGACTGCAATTTCGACCAATCAGATGGCTAGATTTCTAATGAGAGGTATATAAATGCAACTATTATAATTCAGGCATGACACTTTCTCATTTTATATACCAATAGGTGACTGGAGTAAGACTTGGTATGATCTTTGAAGTGCTCTTCAACATCGGTGTTGGTATCGTGATCTCGTTCGTCTACAGCTGGCAGATCGCTTGTCTCCTTCTCTTTGCCTTCCTCCCCATCCTGTCCTTGGCCGGTATGATTGGTTGGAAGATCCTCCAGGGTAACTCCATCGGAACAGCCGGTAGCCAGGCTGAGGTTGGGAAGGTAAGGTTTATCCCTAGGTCAATCTTAGGTCTTGGGTAGCTTTATTGGGACAGCTGGTAGCCAGGCTGAGGTTGGGAAGGTAAGGTTTATCCCTAGGACAATCTAAGGTCTCTGGTAACTCCATTGGAACAGCCGGTAGCCAGGCCGAGGTTGGGAAGGTAAGGATCATCCCTAGGACAATCTTAGGTCTCAGGTAACTCCATTGGGACGGCCGGTTGCCAGGCCGAGGTTGGGAAGGTAAGAATCATCCCTAGGCCAATCTAAGGTCTCGGGTAACTCCATTGGGACGGCCGGTAGCCAGGCCGAGGTTGGGAAGGTAAGGATCATCCCTAGGACAATCTTAGGTCTCAGGTAACTCCATTGGGACGGCCAGTTGCCAGGCCGAGGTTGGGAAGGTAAGAATCATCCCTAGGCCAATCTAAGGTCTCGGGTAACTCCATTGGGACGGCCGGTAGCCAGGCCGAGGTTGGGAAGGTAAGAGTCATCCCTAGGCCAATCTTAGGTCTCGGGTAGCTCCATTGGGATGGCCGGTAGCCAGGCCGAGGTTGGGAAGGTAAGAATCATCCCTAGGCCAATCTTAGGTCTCGGGTAACTCGATTGGGACGGCCGGTACCCAGGCTGAGGTTGGGAAGGTAATCATCCCTAGGCCAATCCTAGGTCTCTGGTAACTCCATTGGGATGGCCGGTGGCCAGGCTGAGGTTGGGAAGGTAAGAATCATCCCTAGGCCAATCTTAGGTCTTGCATGAAGCAGGCCTGATAATTTCCAGATTTAAATAGGTTTCCCTATATAAAAAAAAATCCCCAGTTTTTATCCCCCCCCCTTTTTTGATGCCTCCGCTACAAAGTAGCCGGAGGCATTATGTTTTCAGGTTGTCCGTCCGTACGTCTGTACATCTTGTTCTCGTGATCGCGTTATCTCAAGAACCAATTCATGGATTCCCGCTAAAATTGAGTCATGTATGTATCTTGCAGAGCCAATGAACTGATTAGATTTATCATTTTGGGTTCGCGAGATCCAAGGTCAAAGATCACAGGACTCATTATGTATGCAAAAATAGCTTGCTTCTGTTTTGGTTTGTAAAATTGCTCCATGGCGGAGGCATCATTTTCGACTGCGCGCGGTCGAAGGTCCATCTAGTTTTTTTCTTCTTTATTTTTTCGATGATTTTTTTCGTTGTTGATTTTGTTCTTCCAAAAATGGATAGTCCCTGAGATTAGGGGGTTGAGTTGCTATATTTGCATGACTTGCTTGAGTACCTTGAGCAAACTCTCGCATTACTAAAATCTTTTTCTTTTTTTCTCTCTCACTAAAACCTTTTTATTTTTTAAATTTCACTTTCACCCCTGATAAAGCCTACGGAGATGGGATAATTCCGTAGAATAACAGGTTAACTCTGGGTTACTAGTCTGGGTTCTGTCCAAGCCCTATTTTATGCATCATATAGTCTACAAGGTCAACAAACTCATGAAGAAAAAAAAAAATAATGAAAAAAAAAAATTCATTAATGATGAAAATCATTATTTTGTATGTTCCTCTTTCACAGCTTGTCTCCGAGTGTATTGAGAACATACGTACCGTTCAGTCCCTCAACCGAGGACAGACCTTCCATCTGAAGTACTGTGAACTCCAGAACCCTCCGTACAAGTAAGTATGCTTACAATAATTTATTATAATTAGCATTTATTTGACTTTTACCTCTTTTAAAGGGATTGGGTATCTTCGCCTCAGATTCTAAACGAAATCCTGGATTTAGCTCATGCTACAATCATAATTATAAACCTTAAGGTCAGTCAGGAATCCCATGACTTTTACATGCGGATTGCCTGTCTGATTATCAAGATATTTATGATGGGAAATCGAAATTTCAAACACTGTTTATGTTTTTATAACACTACAGTCTATTTTGGAAAATGAGAATGGTAAAACCGGTCACTCAAAATTTTTTATTTCCTTGAGGTACTTCTTGATCATTTTTAAGCGGGGATTCCAGTATTCAAACTTGCTTTTATTTGCTAGTTATTGTATTGGTCTTTAAATGCTTTTTTTTCATTTAAACCTTTGCTTAAAGCAATGTTATTGTCATGTTTCATATCATTTTTAAGGCCATTTTTAATTGTAACAACTAAACATGTCATATTCTTCTCACACAGACAAGGGATCAAGGGAGCTTTCGCCGCCGGTCTTGCGTTCGGCTTCTCACAGGCTACCATCTTCTTTGCATACTCAGCTACTTTCCGGCTTGGTGCCCACCTTGTGGGTACTGGAGACCTCACCTTCCCTGATGTTTTCCTGTAAGTTCTTTGGGAGTTGTTTTCATTTTTGGCAGGGAGGGGGGGGGGGGGACAATTAATCTGCAGAATATCTTAGACTTACTCTTGGACTAACAAAATATCTGAATTGAAATAAAATGACCAAACACTAACACTACACAGAGCTGCCAACCATTACTTTTCTCCCGGAAATATTCAATTTTTTCTCAAAATTACGGTATTTTTGTTGTTGCACATAACGCACATCAACTAAATGCCCTTAAATGTTGATCACTACTTCCATAGAGATTTATAATTTTAGAAATAGTAAACGAAAAGAAAAAAGAAAAAAGTGAAAGTCGTAAATATTCTCAAAAAGAATGAAACAACGATAATACCAAAAAACTACCTACCCATAAATAAACTATACATGTAGGTCCTAATCTGGGAATAACAGCATGAGGAATGGACATTTCTGCATTGGAAAAGTGTCGGGCGTGGTTGTCAGTTTTGTTTTCATGAATTCCTTTTTTTTTGCCATCATGGTTCCTTTGTTTGGTTGCACAAGGTTGGCAGCTCTGACTATAGTTATTCATAACCTTAATCCTGAACCTAACCTCCATTTCCTATACTTGAGGAACTCCTAATTTCAACCCAGGACCCAACACTGATTATTTCTTTACTTAAACTCTAAATAAACCTAACTCTAAACTTAACCCAACTGTAACCCCAAAGCTACTTTCAAGCTAATTCTTCCCCCATCCAACCAAGTTCCGCCACTATTTTCCTTGATCATGATACTCATTTCAATTCTATTCACCTACCCACGCACTCGTGGTCACTCACTTAAGCTTTACATGCTAAAATGCCAGAAGACATTAGGGAAAAACTCATTCAGCCAGAGAATAATCAATGTGTGGAATGGTCTTCCAGGCGATGTTGTGGAGAGTACCACTATCAATCGCTTCAAATCTGGACTTGAGAACTGGTGGAAGATGACCCAGATAAATATGATGACGACCCCAAACAAAGGAAACCATGGGTAGGGACAACAGTCTAAGACTGAATTATCCTGGATCAAGTGTGTTACAAGTGAGTTACTTATCTCCCTTAGGTCTTTCTCTGCCTTGATGTTTGGTGCCTTTGGTCTCGGTCGCGCTGCAGGATCTGTGCCAGACTTCTCCAAGGCTAAGGTGGCAACAGGAGAGCTCTTCTATTTGGTCGACCGTAGTCCAGACATTGACACTTTCAGCGATGACGGGGAGAAACCGGTATGATTCTCTCAAATTTTGTTTGAAAAAGTGAACTCCAATAATTTCATTTTCTCAGAATTAAAAAATTATAAAAGAAGAGTGTAATCAGTTCACTTTTGCAATCTTTTGAAAATTATTCACAGCTCCTGTGATGAACATATTACCCTGATCTGAATAAATTTCTTCAGTGTTAAAATACCATATCATCAAAGTTTTGCCCAAGCTGGAGTACTACTTATATTTTTTAGAATGAAGAATTTATAAATCCAACTTTTTTTATTTCTATTAATTCTATTTGATGTTCTATCATTATAAAATTGCAATGTCTGTATAAAGTACTCCATAATAGCAAACCAATTAGTCTTGTTGGTCCCAGCTCATTGTTTTCTATTGTCTCTTAGCCATCGTGTAACAAAATCTTGATGTAACAAAAGAGATTCCTAGGCACCAAGGATTTATTTAAAACAAGGTCCCTTGTATATAATAATAACAATTCCACTTTTATATAGCGCCCAATACATCTATAATGTCTCTAAGGGCTTTACAGATATACCATTACCCTGGTCATTGGATTCAATACTTGCCCGCACATACTGTGTGCACAATCTCCACTCACTGGGGAGTATTCCAGCCAGGCATTACTTGACGCTCAAAACTGTTTGACCAACAATGACGGTCGCATCCTACCGGGTACCTGTTTAACACCTGGGTGGAGAGTAGCAAGTGCAGGTTAATATCTTGCCGAAGGATATTAGTGCCGTGTGGGGATTCGAACCCTCGACCTTCGCATCTCCAGTCAAGCGACTTAAACCACTCATCCACATCATCATCACTGATTCATCTCCTCCTGTCCCTACTATGATCCCTACAGGCAAGCTACGGTGGATCAGTGAGTCTCAACAACGTTCGGTTCCGCTACCCGACCCGTCCTGATGTCCCTGTCCTGAGGGGGCTGTCCGTCTCGGTGGACCCTGGCGAGACTCTGGCCTTGGTCGGCAGCAGCGGTTGCGGCAAGAGCACCACTATACAGCTGATGGAGCGCTTCTATGACCCTCACTCAGGGACTGTGGTAAGTACAGTCTAACCTGCTCTTATAGTGACCACCTGTCTACAAAGAACACCTGTCTACAACAATCTCATTTTTTGTTTCCCTTGAAAATTGTTTCTCATTGAAACATGTACTAAAGGAACCTGTCTACAAAGACCACTTTTTGTGTTTCCCTTGGGGGGTCGCTGTAGACAGGTTTGACTGTGGTATTTTGTTGCATTCCCAGAAGCATCCTTTGTAAAGCGGTGCAATCAGTTGATCACAATCGTGTTTCGGTCATTTTTTGGCCACACTCTATGGATGAAATAAACTACTGATAACAGTTTTGGAGAAGGTGATGGTCGTGAAGATGGTGGTGATGATGGGGGCAATAATGATATTGATGAGGATGATGATGATAACAATGATTATGGTCATGAAGATGGAGGTGATAATGGTGTTTGTCCTGATGATGATGATTATGATTATGATGATGATGATGATGTTGATGATGACAATTATGATGATCATGGTGGTGGTGATGATAATAATGATGATTGTAGTAGCAATAGTGATGGTATTGAACTTGATCATTTAAGTGCCACTTCCATTCGTAATGCTTAAAATGACAATTAATGTAAATAGCTACAACAGCACTATCACTTGAAATACTTCCATCACCACGTCATTGACAATGTTCCTTCCCTTCGGAATGCTTGAACTCTTTCCAGATGTTTGACTCCCACGACGCCTCGCTGCTCAACACTCGCTGGCAGCGCGCCCAGGTGGGCCTCGTATCCCAAGAACCCTGCCTCTTCGACATGTCCATCGCAGAGAACATCATGTACGGAGACAACTCTCGGGAAGTCTCCATCGAAGACTGCATCGAAGCGGCCAAAAAGTCCAACATCCATGACTTTGTGGACTCTCTTCCCATGGTATGCATAATAATAATAATAGCTCACATTAATTTTGTAATGCGCCTAATACTTTGTTTCTAGGCGCAGTATGAAGGCTTACCCACAAACAATGTATGCAAATTCTTTACTCCCTGGGCCGCCACTTGCTCATCCAACCACATTTACTTTCGCATCCTACCGGATACCCATTTAACACCTGGGTGGAGAGTGACAAATGTAGATTAACGTCTTGCCAAAGGACGTTAGTGCCGTGTCTGGATCGAACCACGACCTTCAAATTTCAAGCCAAGTGCTTAAACCACTAGACTACGACACTTCTAATACCCTTCATGATCCATTATGTACTCTGGCAACATTTGATTCGTTCCGTGACTCATGCCCCTGCAACAATTGTTCTGCATCAATTTTAGATCAGAGTCCTTACGTTGACTCTAGACCTACCACTAACGTAACCTGACCATCCCTAAATCTAAAGCCGAACATTAAACCAAAACGCAACAATAATAACCATAACTCTTTACTCATATCTTTGATGAAGAAGAGCCTAGAGCAAAATTTGCCAGAGTAAACAAGAAAAACCCATTTCATTAAGGTTTATTTTGTCAAAGAGCTAAAAAAAAAATATGTAGGTTTAGGGTTAGGTATACATGTACATATGGAATTGTGTTAGGTCTAGGGGTGCAGTTAGGAGTTCAACTAGCATAAGACCTTTAATGTGCAGTGCTTCCCACTTCAGCATGTTTCCAGATCTTGACGGGTAAATCACCCTCCTCCCCTCAGGGATGTAAACCCCTAAAGAAATCCAATCTTTTCTTAAAGTTAGACAATGACTAAAGAAGTTGTATGTCGGTTAGTTAATATAATCCATTTTTAAGCATTTTTAAAAGAACTTTAATTCCTTTTTCTTCTATGTCACTTTGACAATGGAGGAAGTAAGCAATGCACAAGGCTTGCAAAGATTACCCTCCCCTCCCCTCCCCTCCCCCACCCTCCCCCTTCCTCTTCTCCCCCCTCTCCCCTCTCCTCCCCTCCCATCCCCCTTTCCTCTTCCCCCTCCCCCAATAAGGGTGAAGGCAAACCGTGAGTGCACCAACAAACCACAAAGTAAAGTAAAAGTAAAAGTAAATGCCAGCAAAATCTTACTTCCATGCTGGCCTCATTACAAAGTTTAGTTCAAAACCTTGCCAGTTCCTCCCTCCTACAGCCTCCTGCAAAATCAAAGCTTATCCATTTGATCACCGTGCATTTCACCATGTTTCCAAACTAACAGAAATACGACACCAACGTTGGATCCAAGGGCACCCAGCTGTCCGGCGGTCAGAAGCAGAGGATAGCCATTGCCAGGGCACTGGTCAGGAACCCCAAGGTCCTGCTCCTGGACGAAGCCACATCAGCCCTGGACACTGAAAGCGAAAGGGTAAGTGACCCATGAAATGACGTTCACTTAGAAATCAAATTTTAAAGGGATTAGGTATCTTTGCCTCAGATTCTAATCAAAACCCTGGATTTAGCTCATGCTGCAATCATAATTATAAACCTTCAGGTCAGTCAGGAATCCCATGACTTTTACCAGCCAATCGCCTGTCTAATTATCAAGATATTTATGATTGGAAATAAAAATCGGGGAAAATTAGTATGGTAAAACGGTCACTCAAAGATTTTTTACTTTTTTGAGGCACTTCATGATCATTTTGAAGCGGAATTTTTTTTAGGGCTTCAATATTACACCATATCACAGACACTGATAACACCTAGGACCATGCATTTCAGATTTAACATTGTTAAACGATGCCTTTAAATCAAAGGTTCCTTTTCAAGAGATCAAAGATATCAGTTCCACACATAAAGAGTAGGTTGAACACCAGTTGACACTTGATGCGTTAAACCCACCTTAAATGACAAAGCCATAGAAACTTAATCAAGACTAGCCACCACATCTCTTTATATTTGGTTCCCCTTGACAGATTACCTGCCTGTAAGACCGCTTTTTTTTTTCTTTGGTCGTACTCGCTGGTTTCACTCTAGTGATGTCTTTCTCTTTTGTTGTTTCTTGGTTGGTAGGTTGTACAAGACGCCCTGGATGAAGCCAAGAAGGGCCGAACCTGCATCACCATCGCCCATCGCCTCTCAACCATCCACAATGCAGAGAAGATCGCCGTCATCCGCGAAGGAAAGCTCGCCGAGTTCGGCAAGCACGAAGAGCTGATGGCTATGAAGCAGCAATATTATTCCCTCTACACTGCCCAGTCTATGCAGCATTAAAGCCCATCTGTATTAGTTTACAGAAGGGAAAAGACCACCCTGCTAGGTCACTGACAGGTGGTTGTCTCATCAAATCAGCTCTCAATTAACATAAGAAAAAGAGGATCATGGGGGACCAATAGTCACCGATTAGGCATTGTTTGCTGTATAGAGGGCGCAAGTAGCTATAAGTAGTGCAGTGGTGCTTTAAACCCTCTCGGTACTTGACAGAGATGCGTGATGTGTATCAAGGTATTGGCTTGTTTGCTGAAGTATTGAGTAGTTTGCATCACAAAGATGTAATAGTATTCCTCTTGAACGCCCAGTCTCTAGAGCCTCATACCCTCTCTGAACTGACAAAAGATGAATGATGTATAAAGTCAGTGCTAGAAGTAGTGAGTAAATTTGCATCGTGAAGAGGCAATGTTCCTTCTGAAGTTTGAAGTGTATTAGTGAGTGATTAAGATGAAAATCATGGGCGATATGCACCAAATACGTGATTCGTACAGTGAATGTTAACACATACAGGATAAACACTGAAGTCTAAAATCGCCTCGCTTTGGATCTAAATATGCGTAGCCCCACATTACGACCAGCATTTAATGTTAATTACACTTAACAATATACATATGTAGTCATTGCAGCATTGGTATCACATGTAACGATCACAGCTCAAACGTAGATTATATTTTTGTATGTATGAAAATGTAGATGCTATTTATTCACTTCATATGTTGCACTTAAATGTATATACCACTGCACAACTGTATGCTGTCTGTATATATATATATATATATTAAGCTATATATATATATATTAAGCTATATCAAGTAAGGTGAAGGGATTTGTAGCACTGTACAGTATTTATGAAAACTGACTTCTGTTTAGAGCCTGATTCGTGTTAACTCACATAATGTGGTTCGACATAATGTGTTTCGACATAGAGAAGATTGAGTTCTGGGGAGAGGTGAAAATATAATTTGTGAGCGTTTTCATTGTTATTATGCAAGTGTGGAAGAACATAAGAGAGAAAAAAGGTGTAAAATACTGTCGTTTTTTACTTATTCAAACATAACACTGTAACTTTATAATACCAAAGGAGCAAAAATTCTACCTCTTATTAGAGGTGTCATGGTCTAGTTAGTATGTCATAAGACTGTGGATCACATGGTTAGCGATTCAGGCCCGCTATGGCACTAATGTCCTTTAATCTGTATATGTCACTTTTAACCCAGGTGTTTAATGGGTACCGGTAGAAAGGAATTCCTTGAATACTCTGAGCACCAAAATCAGTATCCTAAAGGGGTGATATTGGAGCACCTATATTTTTATATGTAATGTATGAAAATTGTGTGGTGGATATGTACGCTATATAAATATCCAATATATTTCTTATATTATCTTCGCATAATGTCAGAATTTTTTTTTTTACATATTGTTATTTAGTGGATATATACTTGTTTGAATACTTATGAATATAATCTCTTAAATTGTTATCACTGCAACTATTGATGAAGGTTTTTTTGCCGCGCCTAAGCTTTGTAAAGTAAGTAAGGCTGCACCTGTTTTTGTACTTAATACACACTTTGCTTAGTGTGGGATCTTCATTCGTTTGGGAAAAAAAGTGTCAATTTTTTTCTGTATCGTGATCATTATTTGTTATCATTATCATTATCTGAGGCTTTTAACACAATTAGATACACCAGATGTATTGCATAAGGCTGATTTTTGTTGTGTGTGTGCTGTGCATCGCAAAGAGAAGAGGCCCTTTTTCCATATTTTCTTTATTAGGAGGCTATTAAACTAATTTGTTCATATATCCTTGATTGGCCTGTCACTCTCTCAAATGATTCGTGGCAATACTCGTCAACCCTTGTTCAGTTACGATGAAGTGATTTAAAACAACCTTTAAGAGAAAAAGATAAAGAAAAAATAATGTCACAGGAAATTAATAACTGTATTAACATGTAAATGATTGGCAAGTGGTTGTGATAAAAGCAGCTGCATGCAACAAAGGGTCCTAAGCATACTCACATGTACTTGTGGTATACAATATCAAAATGTAGCTCACTTCACTTTATAATATGCAATGTTTATGTGAACGAGGCTTCATTTGTACTATTTACTTACATAACAATAACGTCATTACAATATTCACTAATCTGTTCTACAAGGCTGACCCAATACATGTTTGTCAGAAGATTTTGTTGGTCAGTTACCCAGCAAAGTTTTATTTGGTGGCAATACATAATTTTTATTACAGTATCCCCTGATCCACAAGTACAGTACTGCAAGCTGAGGCTGCAATGGTGCTTTTGCTTTGTATTCAAAGAAATTTCTGGCCTGTTGCATTAAAAGTTTTAACTTTTGGCGGTACTTGTTTCTAGTACAATTTTTGCTGATCCATATTTGCTGAAAGAGGCTGACCACTATTTCCATAGAATTATTTTGCCTGTCACATTTACAGTTTTAAATGTTGGCAATATTCCTTTCTTGTAAAACTTTTGCTGAACCATAAGTACTGAAAGAGGTTGCTATTGTTGGCCTGTTACATTCAAAGTTTTATTTGTTGGCAATGCTTTTGTTCTTTCATTGTATGATATACATCTTTCTCTGTAAACCAGCAGGGGGTAAACTCGTATAATTTAGCACAGGGCAAGTGTCCTTATGGCTCTTACCAGATGAGTGTGCTTTGTAGTTCTTGTATATGTGGCCTCGCTACTAAATGCACACATGTTTTCGATAGTGGCTAAACCCAATCAGTACTGTACATGCAAGTGGCTTATATGTAACTGTATTTAGAACATTTGATAACACTTTCATAATTAGCTTTAAAAAGTTGGTGATCAATACTCATGTACCTCATTTAAAGCTATTGTATTCTTTCCCAATTGGAAAAACTATAGACTTTATTCAAGCTTTGGTGTCTGGTATATGTGTTTGTGTGTTTGAAAAAACCAAAAAAGAATTTGTCCAACTCTTTGTCTTTTCACTTTTACTTTTAGAGCACCTTGGTATACTTACATGTATATATCCATAGCTATATTTCTATCTTTTCTCATTTCCTAATGTCTAAAGCTTGTTGTCTGGTGAGCATGTATTCATCACCAACCATTCAGAATCATGTAGAGAAAATTAAAATGCACTTTCGTTCAGTTTGAAAATCCAGGGGGCCAAGCTGCAAAGGGACAGTGATCATCATGATACATTTCACAGATTGCTATTTTAGATTGAAAGCACATTTGGCTTTCACATTTAAACGTTACTTGAAATCCATTATGAATGATTTGGGTCTGTAGTGAAAGACAGCAATGGAACCCTGATTGGAAGTTGTAAGATTGTTAGATGCAGTATTCTTCAATGTAAATATACATAAACATGTATTTCCTAATCTTTATTGTATACACTTAAGACCAATTGCCGTGTTCATTTTCTTTAAAAAAAATCTGAATATTTATACCAAATACTGTCTTCATATTCTTCAAGGAAATCTAAACCTTTGTACGGAGTACTGTGTCAATATTCTTCATGGGAAAAATTGTCTAATATCAGTACTTTGTGTCAAACCAAGTTTTTAGAATTTGAAGGTAGACCTAACATGAGTACATTCCAAATTGGTTTTACTACGCCAAAGATGCCATCATGATTGTGAGTCTTTCACATTTTCTTTTTAACTGCAAAAGTAGAACTTTTTGTCAGAATCGCACAAAGATTTTGTCTGGTCAAGCCGTGTACCTCTATTTTATAGCCCATGAGTCCACGTCCCTTCTGACTCTCAACAGAAGATTTTATGTATGGGTTTTGAGAGACCATTCTGCATAGCAGTAGACTGCGTTGTAAAAGCATTGAGGCTGAAGTATATAAAGGGTCACTATCCAATGCAATCTTTATTACATAATCAAACAAACTTTTTTTTCACAAAAATTCAGGCTGTGAAAGAAAATCCTTATATAACTCTGTATCACTCTACATTTCACCAGTGTGTTTGTGAAAGAATACAAGTAGTGCTTGCTTGTTTGAAAGATAACCTGTAATATATCAGTGCATTATGCTTAATCTGTAGAGTTATTAAGATATATTTGTGTAGAATAACCCAAGTCTTTCTGTCTTGCAAGCTTTGTATTTGTACCTATCAACAATTTTAAAGAAACAATAAAACAAACAAACAAAAGACTATGGGTGGTATTCCGGTAGCGTGTACTAAGTTAGCGCGTACTAAGTTAGTCCACACTATTATGGAGTGCCTGTTGCAAACTCATTTACCCTGTACAGATTATTTTAATCCTTCAATGAAAAGTGTCCAACAAATTAATTTTGCAATGAAATGGGAAGAAAAGATAATATGAGTATGAACTGAATTTAACAAAGTCTTTGATAGATTATATTTGTTATGAATATTGAAGGAGGAAGATAATACCTAGCATTCCATAGAAGTGTGAACTAAAATTCTTGTTTAGTCTAGACTTAGTCCCCGGTTAACTTATGAGAATACCACCCTATGAGTTTGCTCAAGATAAGAATCAGCTTGTATATCAGAACAGCTTTATTGGCAAAATAACTGTAGTTATTTTGTTTAATTAATGTAAATAATGTACCTCTATCTCCTAATCAGACTTTTCTATATGTGTGAAGTTCAAAGAATAGTCAAGTGCATTCTATTCATATTTGTTAGATTTACAAATAGCAACCTGAATGGTCATTATCTTATCTTTACGAGAATGACCATTTAATCATTACATTGCCTTCAGTACAATTTTTAGAACACACTGTATTGTATGTAAAAATATAGCCTAGTAAGTTGGACTTAATATGACTTTTGAGAGACTGAATATATTTGTATTTAATGTTGTGTAAATGATAAGTGTGCAGTGTTACACCTAATCATGAATTTGGCATTACAATTATAAAGGGCTTGAAAGTGTCTTGAATTAGCATAATTACTTGCCTTATTGATCACGCCAAAAACTTGGAAATTTTTCAAAATTTTAAAGAGAATACAAAGTCTAAAAATGCTTGGGAGTTCTTGTAGCAGCCTTTTTTATGGACCAATGCAGATATTTTATAACTGACCATTACGAGTTTGAGATAGACGTCATTCTCCAGCTTTCGAAATGTTTGCATCATGTTTATAAATGTGTTATTATGAGTGTTAAATGTAGATAATATGAAATAAAAGCATATTGCACAATTTATATATTTTTGTGGGACAAAGTGGACGGTAATTTCGTGCATTGTATTTCTTGAATCTAAACCATGGCAGTACATATGAATATACATATTTATACTGCTCACAAACTGCATGTGAACATGATGCTCTCTCTCTCTTTCACTCCCTCCCCCTCTCTCCCTCCCTCCCTCCCCCTCTCACTATTTCTATTCTATACTCTTCTCTCTTATTCTTTCCTTAAGCCTCGGTCACAAATACCATTACGAACTAATAAGAACGCCTTACGAATGATTTTCAGACAATGGAAAACCAGGGAGATTTGTACGAAGGCATTGTTCTTACAAACCTTTGTGACCGTAGCTTAACATGTATTATGTTCCTCATGGTGAATATTTTTGTACTCATAATAGTGCTCTTTTTGAAACTCATCTTCTTCATCCGCCCTTTTCTCTCCTTAATTGTTTGTTCTATTCTCCTTTTCTTTGTTAAATTAAATAATGTAAGAAGGTACCTGTATAAAGCTGTAATATCTGTTCTTCTGTTCCAAGTGTTGGTGTAGTTAAGTTTAGGTCAAAACTAGTTGTACATAGGCCTTTATAGATCTTTGGGTAATGATTATTGTGTTTTCTTTTTATTCCAAACGAGATATAGTTCAAATAAATGTTATCAATTAGAAGATGGTTTGCTGTTAATTATGTTTCTTATGGTTTTAGAGCTAGAGAAATGCTTATTGAGTTTACATGCAACTCACTTTTTATCAAATATATCTGCCTTTTTCCGCCACACACTCACACACACACCACTTCTGTCTTTCACTCTCTCTCTTTCACACGATTGCTCCATCTCTAGCTGTCTCTCCTTTTTTTTTGGTTTAAATCTTTGTCTCTTATTATCTTTTTATACCTATCAGTATTACTTTTTTTCTGCATTTGTTATCTCCTCTATTCCCCACAAATCCTCTCTCTCTCCCCCCCCCCCCCCCCCCCCACTCTCTCTCTCTCTATCTCTCTCTCTCTCTCTCTCTCTCTCCCCCTCTCTCTCTCTCTCCTTTAAAACTCCTTCGAAAAAAGATGGTCTTCCAAATATAGTCTATTAAAACCCATTGGTTGATTCAACTCACACGGTAAATATACAAAAACACAATCACATTTACTTCCGAAAAATCAACCTATAAGGCAATTTAAATAGCCTTGTTTGTAACCCATTGAAATGCGCGAACTTGTCACTCGACAATGTGGTATAACCCCGGCCCCCTCCACTCAGTGTTATTTAGGGTACGCATATGCATGTTCCCTCCTTTTTAAAACACCCCCTAAGTCCGGTGTGTAAAACGGGCTTTTGTGTACTACGAGCCGGACTTTGGTGCGTGAATTTTTTTTTAATATGACATTTTGCTCCGTTTGGGGGTGGGTTAGGTCACCTTTTTTTCTTTCTTTTTTTAAATAAAATTAAAAAAAATATATATAATTTTTTGAGGGGCCGGGGGGGGGGGGCACGCCCCTGTTTTTCAGTATATTTTGGGCGAATTTAGGGCTGATTTTAACATATTTTGTTTTGGCCGGGGGGGGGGGGACGTGCCCCCTGTGCCCCCCCCCCCCCCCTGGATCCGCCACTGATTGTATTGAAAATGCCCTCGACTTGATGTTTCGAAAGTAGCTGTGGAATACAGGCTACACCAAAACGCAAACTCACACAAACTTTATATAATCTAGCGATAAATCTTCGATAAATTTATTCAAACGTTAGTACGCCATCACAATGATACAATAATCTAATAAGAAAACGCTCCTAATGTGAAAACGCTCCTAATGTATGGTACATTATTCTGAAGTACCAAGCCTGTTGGATCACCTCGTTTAATAGTATACACAAAATATATTCACGTAACAATAAATTGCCTGTGCTACCATCCGTTTATATAAAAACCTTTATATCGTATGTAATTTTTGATAGCCTACTTTATGAGATAAAGTCAAAATAACAAAGATAATCGTATATACTGATTAAATGTTAAAGGCACCAGCGACGTTAAAGTCCTTTAAAGCCACGGTCTCATCCGACACCACGTACAATAGATGAAGATTTAGTTGATTTTGGGTATGTTTAGAATCTATAAGGATTGGATTTGGGTATATCTTTAACTTCTCTTCTCCTGTCATACATTTTGTGACCTAGATGTAAAGATTTTCAAACTTTTAATCACGGAAACAGTTTTTCGGACAAAAGCACTCACCTCTGCTCCTATTCATATTATTAGGTATAATAATACATATATGCAATTGAGAAATATTTTTTCTGATTTGTGCAAAAACTTACTAGAGTTAGAATAAGTGAAACATATGTTAAAAAGCAGTGAAGATATAATACACACGTTTTCTTTTAAAATACAACAAAACCGAATATTAAACCATCCGAATTTAATATATACATAATAAGCCTCTTGAATTCTACGATAAAAATTAAAAATTTTAAAAGGTAAAAAGAAGAAGGAAAAAATACAATATTGACATGGCGTACATCTTTTTTTTACTTAATTAAACTGTTATGATATTTATATAATGCGTCATATTCATTTTGTTTCTAATACATGATTACATTTGGAAAAATATTTAGAATAATCATTACAAGTGTATTATCAATCATAATGTATTCAAAAATATACATGATGTTGTACAGATATGTAATAAAGAGACCCCTACAGTGACATTTCAGAAACACCATTCTTGTCTTGAAGATATGAGAGTTAAAATAATATCAATAGTCAGCCAGTTTATGAAACTGCCATACCTTTTAGATTCTTTTTGAAGATGATAAAATCTGAATTAGTGTCCTTAATTGTTTTTGCACCGTTAGCTTTCAATCCGCCGAATTAGCAGGCTGGCCTATAGCTTTGGGATAAGTCACGAAACCTGGATAGTATTTTATTCTTGTTGGCAAATCCCTGGGGGGGGGGTGCCGACATGCTTTATGACAAATCTTACTATGTATGTAAAATGTAATAGGAATGGAAATCACTCGTTATGGGGGGATGGGCGTGGGATGAATCATTAAAAAAAAATGAAAATAGAAATCCTGACGGAAAAAGTTTGATACCAACTTTTGAAACAATAATTCAACCACAACCTTGGAATACATTCCATTATAATTTGTATTGGCCTTAACTCCTAAGAAAGTGACTCCTTATTATCCCTCATATGTGGACAGATCAACTCCGGCAAGTTTGATAAAGGGCATCCCTATATTAACTTGAAGCTTAACCATGTGTAACATATCAAATTTTTGGTTCATACATTCTTCAGTAAATATGTCGATTAGTGCCAATCATCTTGAAGTAAGGTTTGGTTTGAGATTCTTTTGAGTGTAGATACTGGATATCACGTCATCATGATGTCATTGATCAGTATTGAGACATCTGTTTTCCGCTTTCTGTTGAAATATATTAAAAGTAATGATATGATAGTCATAAAAATAATACAATTAATATCAATATTGATGATGACCATCATCATTATAATCATTATGATACTAGTTTAACTATTACTACTTCTAACAATGATAATAATACTAACAGTAACAACAACAATAATTGTACATGTAATAATAATAATAATATTATCAATAATAATAATAATGATGATAATATTAACAACCATTAATCTGTGGAAACGGAAATTTATTTATTTCCTTTAGGTTATTCATCATAAATGATCCGTTGGATAATACTACAATGCACCCATGCAGGAAAACTTTACCAAGTCCCTTTCGGAAATAATCATGTCCAGGGCCGAAGCCAGAGTTTGATGTTTGGGGGGAGGGGGGCACATGCATATAATCTATCGACGTCCTGCGTCCTGAGGAGGGGTCTAAAAAAAAGTTTAACCGATTTTGGATTCTTTTATTTTTATTTTTTTATTTATTTTTTTTTTTTGGGGGGGGGGGGGGCATGTGCCCCTTCCCCCGTGGTCTCGGTTTCGAAAAAGTTACTGCAGTATGAAAAAATAAAGATTTTGAGTCGGTTTTTTCGTGTGTTTTTTTGCGGATTATTTTGGCCAGTATCTCGGTATATTAATTGGGCGATAGTGGTTGGACATTAGGCAGTGTAGACATCTCAAAGGATTAGGAGTGCTGAGTGCAATTGATAAGTACTTCTTTACTCTATGATGATTAAGAAAATGTCGAATAAACAAGGTGTGCTTAGTTTGTAGTGGCAACCAATTAAAAAACTTATCATGATACTTGACTTTGGTCCTCCGCCTATATACCAGTCATTGTATCAAATTGCTAATCAGCACAAGATAGTGCCTGCGACCAGGCCAGGCGCCATTTCACAAGCGCACACATGCCTTATATCCAACCACATTAACGTTCGCATGCTGTCGGGTACACATTTAACACCTTGGTGGATAGTGGCAAATGCAGATTTGTGTCTTGCCAATGGACATTAGTGCCGAACCATGTGATCCACGGCCGTTGACGCATCCATCCCCGGCATTCACCAGACCACGACAACTTTACAAACATATACGGTAATCAACCGATTTTCAAGAAATACAATACAAGCGAGTTCGAAATCAGGATTTGCGCATGGGCAGATAAAGGTCATTCGTACCCAAATTGTAAAACTATTGAGGCGAATACTCGAATCGTGCTCATAAAAGTTATGTTATCAGTATTCATTTATGCACCAACAGTACATTTATCTGATACACAGGTGGAAGTATTATTTTCAAGAGGCAAAAAAAGGGTATTCATGAAGCACCTCCATCACTTTTGCAGTGATTATTCTAAAATGCACAGGTGGGAAGTATTCATCGTGTCTAAGGTCTGTGGATATTTTGGGGTCATGCGTTCCAGAGCTATGTTTCGAACTCGCTTATTCTTCAAGACGATTAATATCACAATACCTGGACCCTGGACTGTCATTGGATGTGCCTGGCCATACTGCATCTGTTACGAGAAACAAAAATGTTACGATTTAAACTGCTGTATTTTTGTCGGATCTCGTAACTAAATTCTACGGGTCTCGCTCTTTTCAGGTTGCATCGGCCGAACTTTGGAAAAATCTAAAAATCTGTGATACTGTTGACAACTTTAAGGAGCGTCTTAAAACATTTCTTTTCAAAAATACTTTCCAATGTTAACGAGAGGAATTATGTTGAGCATATCTCACTCTTCTTATGTTATGCTATCCACCTTTCCTTCTTACTCTTTCTTACAGCGCATATAGAGACATATTGTGATATGCGCTATATAAGTACGGTATATTATTATTACTTATAGGAGCGAATATCATAATCCATGAGACCATTGTAAATAACAAGATAATGATAAAGCTTGACTTCTACTACGGACACATTTTTTTTTACAGAATACCAAAACATAAATGTTAAGACAGAACAACGTCTTTGGAGACGTATTGTATTTATTGTGATTAATAATATCATTGTTGTCAGTCCTCAAGTTGATTCAATCAAATTTTATTCAAAATGGTGTAAATCAAAATTGTCATGGATCACGTTATTCATACTGTGACCTCTTTTATAGTTTGGAAAGATACGTCTTCTATGACGGATCCAGAGGGGGACGGTGGGAGTACGACTTGCCCCCAACAAAACCAAATCTGGCTTACATTTTAAACAGTAGAGAACAGATATGCACCCCTGACACACACACACACACATACACACAACATGTGCCAACTGGGGATATTTAACTATAACTATTTTTTTGACAGGGCCCCTTGGAAGAGCAATACTCGTTATTGAAAGGGCCACCCTGTATAAAGAAGACTTGAATAAAAAAAAAATAAAAAAAAACTATGACATTGGGGATATTAGAATTTGAGGTGTTTTTATATTATATTCTTTTTCTTTGGCGGCCAGATAAATGAATACAATAACATTTTGTCAAAGAATAACAAGAATTTAACCTCCTGTTTTATGTAAGAGCTTACTAGGTGCTGTTCATTTATCAGAATTTTAAAATCTCAGATGATACACACAAAGTAGCGCTCGAAAATGTGGAGTCTTGTATGAAAATATGGATGTCTTGGAACTCTTGCAGGCAATGGTAGTAGACTCCTCTCGGGACACTTTTACCAAAATTAGCAAAAATAAGAAAGTTATCAACTGGGGATATCCACAGTTGCCAGTGTATCCCCACTTGAAAATTATGTATACATATAATACGCCCCTCACACACGTCTTACAAATCCAAACGCACACACTCACACGTACTTTTTTCAATTTTGCTTTATTTCTCCAAATGTGTAATACAAGCAAAAACATACAATTGAATATAACAAATAAACGTTTTCTATATTGATATGCATTGCTTATACATAAACATAATTAAACAAAAACTCATTTGCAGTATAAAAATTGGCAACAAAGTAAACTTAAAGTATATAAACATATTTTATAAGTCAATTCTCGCTACCCTAAATAGGTACGAAAATCTCGAAATTCGCGAGACGAGGTAATGTTCACTCTCTCGGGTCGTCACTACAACTTCCGGTATAGAGTCCCATCCCGCTGGCGCTAGCGCCTGTGTTCGCTGTGCAGAGTTTTCACGCACGCTAAAATCGATGCTAATCAGTGTAATTGGTACAGATTATAATATGCAATGGAAAGCTTCGGGCAGAATTAGTGACTTTAGCACAAAAGGCCGTTAAACTCTACCGTGAAAGAGAGGGTTGTGATCACGAACGCCTGCACAGGAAGCTGTAATGTCGAAAAGCTATCCCATAATGCAATGCGGATTTCAGGATTTTCCCGGATCTCGGCAGAATCGCTATTTGGGGTAGCGAGAATTGCACGTTATTCACTTATTTAAAAAAAAAAACCTAAACAAATTTGGAGGTTATTTCGCTGGTGCAATGCCTACCCCACCCTGCACTCTCCCTCCCATAAACACACCCACACGCACACACCACCCACACACGCATACAATACTTACTCAGTGGAAGTCTGATAACATTCTCAACTGAAGAAAAATTTACTAAATAATTAAGTTAACCAGGCCGAAAATAGAGTTACACTTTAACAAGCTCACGGTAGAGAGGAAAAACCAATCTTAATTAACTCTACGCTGCTCCCACTTTAGAAAATATAATTCCAGCTTTCCCATTCTGATGGCTATTTTATTTCCCTCATCCTTTTAGTTAAAAATGCTTTTCTTCATTTTTTTCTAAAGTTGGTAATGTACTTGCCCCCCCTCAAATATAACATACTTAACCATGGACATTATAGTATTACATATTTTCATTCTATATGAACTGCCTGCCAACCCAACAAATATATCTTGCCATTCTAAATCTTTGATTTCATTTAACTCAAAAAGTTGAACTAAAGCCTGCCATATCCTTTGAACACTCCCGCAAGATAAAAATAGATGTCTATACGTTTCTGTTTCCTGTTTACAAAACGAACATAAATTATCGCCAACAAAACCAAAACTATGAACATGCTCATTAGTATATAATGGCTCCATGCAATAATCTGAATTGAAATTGTCGTTGTTTTCTAATGAAAACGCACACGCACACAAACATGCGCACGCGCACACACTGCAAATAGAAAATTTCAATTTTGAGGAAAGAAGTACTTCATTTATTTGATAGCTGAAGATAGCCACTAGAAAATGATGAAAGCTTTTATCTAATGTGAGCCAGCCTCCCCCCCCCCCTAACTTCCTTAGAATCATGGATCCCCGGCCTGTGTATATTCTCACCTGATTTTCGCTCTAACGTAGAAAACTTTCGCTTTGAAGAAGAAAAGTTCAAAACATGACCCGTTATTCGATGGGTAACATAGGACCTAAGTGAGTTATGTATACGTGTTATCATACCGTGGTGGCAGTAGTGACAGTGGTCGGGGCTTCGGCACAGCAGCAGGAGTGTCCCCCACAGCAGTAGGCAGCAGACACGATACATGTAATAAACTCGACAAAGCCCAGGATAACGAGTATGGCGTGAACGGAAACGGCACCCTAGTTGTTGGAAAGGTCGAGAAAACAAGATGAAAGGGTCGAGGGTTTAGAAGGAAACAAAACTGACAAATACATGAAGATAGGCGGTGTATACGGAGTGTCTCAACTGAGTTTGCAACGCGATGTCCACACGGTTCATTAACGATAATGCAATGCTAGTATGCAACGTCAGTAAAATGATGTTCAACAAGCATCATGTTACAACTTTGAGCACAACCTAAAGGGGGTGTATCATGGCAAATGCTGTTTAACGCCATCTACATCTTCTTTTGGACAACTGCATGTAAACGAATGGATTTGGTTAACTGGGTTAGCGCGCTATAGTGTTCGCGAAACTGACCGAAGTTTTCCTCACGCTTCGGTTTCGCGCATGTTGCACACACGTCGTATCAGGTGAATTACCCCCTAGGCAATCACCCCCGGGCAATTACCCCCCGAAAAACTACCCCCGGAGAACTACCCCCGTAGGACGATTACCCCGCGGAGAATTACCCCCCAAGGACAATTACCCCCCCCCCAAGGACAATTACCCCCCGAAAAATTACCCCCCGGAGAATTACCCCCCGAGGACCAGTTCCCCCCCCCCCCCGCGGACAATTACCCCCCGAGGACAACTACCCCCGAGGACAATTACCCCCCAAGGACAACTACCCTCCGAGGACAACAACCCCCGAGGACAAGTACCCCCCATGGACACTACTGGGCATGGTGGCTCAGTGGTTATAGAGCGCTCGCCTCATGAACGGGAGGTCGTGAGTTCGAACCCCGGCCGAGTCATACCAAAGACTTATAACAATGGGACCTTCTGCCTTCTAGCTAGGCGCCCAGCATATTAGATTGGAGAAGGGTATTAGTAACATATAATGTTATGCAGGGCCCGCTGGAAGAGCAGTTTCATAACTGAGGTGGCTACCCTGGGTAAATAAAACGTTATTATTATTATTATTATTATTATTATTATTATTATTATTACCCTCGAGGACAACTATCCCCCCGAGGACAACTACCCCTCCCCCCTTCGAGGACAACTCCCCCTCCCCCTCGAGGACAATAACCCCCGGAGGACTACTACCCCCAATGACAATCACCCCCCGAGGAATTTATAACACTGTTACGTATAACGCAAGCTTCTCTCCAATTTGCTTTTTACAGAAAATTGCATAAACCTTCATTTTCTATGTTATTTATGAAGGTCATTTCAGTCTTTTCAAATTATTCAATTCGATATGCCATGTCAACAACAAACAAAAATTGATTTTGTAACGCCAGCACAGCGTTTTTCAACCGGGGTGCCGCAAGGGAATGGTTTGGAAAACGTTGATTTTGTAAAAAAACAAAAACAAAAACAAACAAAACCGGTTAAAATATGTAATTACGTGAGAAAATAATTGTTTTGAAGATACTAAAGTGTCTTCCTTCCTCGCTCGCTGACAATATTTTGACAGCAAGGTAAATAAGGGCAACGAGAGGCCCGAATATCCTCAAATTCGTGTGTCAAGATCATGACCGAATATATCACTTTTTATTTATGTACATTTGGCGGCAAGGTGCCCGCATACAGTACTTTATATAGTTTCTAGTGTGTGGATTACAAAAATGTCTTCTCCTTTTTATTCTTAAATGTGCATAGCACTTGACGAGAGCCAGAGTCATGCAAAATTAATAATCTGTAAAGACTTTGGGATTTAGGAGAAACTTTTCATTCCTTAACAGGGTACCGTGACTAACAAAAAGTTAAAATAACGCTGCTCCAGAGAAATGTATTTACGCTATGCATTTTGCAAAGCGCTGGACAATTACCTAAAACTTACATCCTTCGTGGAAATTAGCAACCGCACTGGCGTTGCATAAACTATAATAAAGGGAAATGTGTAGTAATGAGGAAGACAACGTGATATAGTATTTGAAAGTATATGGGTTCATGCACGGACCTTATGGGCTCGTAGCCATCTCTCAATGTGTCAGATCGTCGTTTGCTATTGAATCCTGATTGTCCACGGGGGTAGTTGTCCTCGGGGGGTAATTGTTATCTGAGGAATTGTCTTCGGGGGGTAATTATCATCGGGGGGTAATTGTCCTCGGGGGTTATTGTCCTTGGGGGTAATTGTCTTAGGGGGTAATTGTCCTCGGGGGGTAATTGTCCTCGGGGGGGGGGGTAAGTGTTCTCGGGCGATATTGTCCTCGGGCGGTAGTTGTCCTTGGGGGGGAGGGGGGTAATTGTCCTCGGGGGGTAATTCTCCGGGGGGAATTTCCCGGGGGGTAATTGTCCTTGGGGGGTAGTTGTCCTCGGGGGGGGTGATTCTCCGGGGGTAATATTCAAGGTGGTAATTGTCCTTTGGGGTAGTTTTCCGGGGGGTAATTTTCCGTGGGGTGATTGCCCAGGGGGTAATTGTCCTAGAACCCACGCACGTGAATGCTGCGGCCGCGTCGTTCGTAGTCGTTTTATACCCTATTGGCCCCGAGTAGGGCCATGGGGAAGACACATCATGTCTCGTCATGATACACTCCCTTTAACTGCGCGCATAAAGGTTCTACCCGTCTTTAATGAATTCTGCGTTATAAGATACAGAAATGTGACGTGTAATACACTCAACGTCATCATAAAGAAGAAGAAAAAAAACCCGCCTCGATTTTGCCTCGTCATTTCTGAACGAGGTTTAATTGGTGAAATGTCCCATTCATAGAATGTAAAGATAAAGTCCACATGACTTACCACCGAACGATTATAGTCACAGGTATACTTGTAGTAAGACTCATAATAACAAGAATAGAAGGAGGTCAGCACTGTGGCTACAAATGCTTCGTATGCTATCATCCCGAAGGCATGGAAAGTACTCAGGATTGCCATGACCATGTATGCGATGATCTGAAAACAAATGACGTCACATTATGAGAAAGGAATGGAGGGATGGGACATTGGGAGGGAGGGGAGGGGAGGGGTTTAGACGGGGGGGGGGAGGAGGCGTCCGGCCCTGGTCTCCTCTTAGAATCTAAAAATGGTAAATCTTAAATACACAAGACAAAGAATGTATGCCCTTACAGATTTACCAAGCCCGTTTTCATGTTTGTTTGCCTTTATTTATTTGATTAATTATTTATTAATTTATTTGTTGAATTAATTATTTATTCAATCAAATCAAAGAAATAAGATAGGCCTAATTGGAAAAAGAGACTATTAGGCATCACTTACCACGCACGAGTTCTTCTTCTTGCTAGCAATCCCTAAGATTCCTGTAGGGATGTAGAACTGTAAAGAATTTTTTTAAAGAGACAAAAAAAGGTACCTAATGCAAAAGGCGCACAAACAGCCTAATTGATCAATATTTTCCTTTGATTGTGTACTCAATACATTACAGACGAAGAAGTACACCTGGATGTTAAAAGTCAAAAAGAAACATCGCCCAAAAGACGATGTTACCCTTTTTGCTTTCTTGCTTTCTGTCTGGCAGAACCGTCTTTTAGAGATCTTAGAGAAGAAAGTACGACGTAAATTTTTAATCCACAACTGTTCTTTGATAACGTACATTTAAGAAAGGATTAAGTTGCTGGTGTAAGCAGGACCTCTTTGATCTTCTTTGATAGCTGCCAGAGAGGGGGTACACGAAATAGAGACGGAGATTTTAATGTGGGATGCCACCCATTCCCCGCCCCTTCCGCCCCCCCCCCTTTACTGACCAATAAAACAAAACGTTTTAAAGACATCGGAACAGGTGAAGCAATAAAACACTCAATAATATTTCATGGAAATTGAAAGGCATCCTGAGCCATCAGTGGCGTATCCAGACAGCAGTTTAGAGTAGGGCCAACAAAGCGGATTTACGATTCAAGCATTCGAGCCCAGATTTCCAGTTTTATGGACTTGACAAGATGAAGAAGGGGACTGGGGATTGTTTTCAAACTTCGGGAGAAGTTATCTATGACACGGGTAGCTAGGGCTTCAATTAACAAAAAATAAAAAAAAATAAAAGACCCCTCCCCCGAAAAAAATAAAATCGCCAATGAAACAAGGATTAACTTACAATGAAGGCAGACCAGATTCCATAACCGATCTGATACACTGGAAACACGTATGCAACCCCGCCGAGAATGATGCACAGGATAGCTACGATCAGATGCACTATCCCCGTACCAAGGCCGGCTGTTCCGTTGTAATGTTCAGAGGTATTGCTGCTGCCAGGCTAAAGGGGTAAAACAAAAATTGAGGACAAGTTTGAAAAGTAAGCAAAGAAGATAAAGTCTGGAAAACGAAGCCATGGATTCAAAATGTTGAAAGCAAAATTTCACAGAAATTTAAAAGTAGGTCCTACATTTATTATATCTATAACATCTATCCAAGTCAATAGCGCACATCTTCACCAGCACATCATTAATAATTTTCAATTGGATTATTATTATTATTGCGTAAATATAAACACATGCCTCTACCTGATACAGACTTTGTTCTGTAGCGTTGCAAAAAGAAAATTCCACGTCGTTGTGTTGGTATATTGTCATGTAAACGAAAATGATTCGATACCAAATCAATAAGTTAACCTTTCATTTAAATTCACTTTGAATTGCAATTACATTTAGCAGGGGAAAGATATACCAACATCTCACCCCTGGAAGGATTGTTCAGGAAATGGTCTCTGCATTGGCCTTAGAGAAAGCAAAGAGTGCGTTAGGCCTAAATTTTGTTCTTTAGTCCCAAAGTGTTATGTTTTTCTACAAAAAACTTTTTTAACTTTATGCATATCAGAAAGAGGGCGCTGTCGACGTCAAGACTTTTTTTTTCGCATCCTCTAGCTTTACCAACAAAAACTCATAAAAAAAAACACATTAAATTTGAATATCCAGTTGAATCCGAAAGGTAAGACTGAACTTGAACCATAATTACGCTGTAATACTCCACTTTTTAAGTGATTTTAGTTGAAGAAAGTGAGAATATGTTGCTTTAGCCAAGTTATGTTATGCCAACAAATATCACTGGCATACAACATATCGGCGACTTGTGGCGGATTTATCTGGAAAATCAATCTGACCGTGTGAAGTTAATCACAACCGGATTAGAGATCCGAGGGGCCGCCGCCCCTATACACGACATAAACCCATTCACCAAGGCCCGAGAAGAAAATCATGTGAGAGTTTTAACCAAGGATGTGCCACTATCCGTAAGTGATGAGATCATAAAAGTGATCTACAGGCAAAGAAAGTGAATGTCGAAGGGGACATTTTCCGGCAAGAACTGAGGGATAACGGGCAACTTACAAGTTGTAAGTTGCCTAAATGGAGAACGTGTTCTTTATATATAAACCCTCCATCAAAGCCCCTCCCAAGAAAATATCAATTTAAAGACATAGTCATGGCGAGTGTGTATCACCAAGGGCAACCACAACAAAGCAGCACTGGAGTCGTCACTTGTTCGAAATGCTTAGAGAATGGCCATCATGTGTCGAAGTGCAACAATGTTGTAAAGTGTCGCATGTGTATGCAAATAGGCATGTGAAAGGTAATTGTCCGAATGCTTCTCCTCACCAGGCAACCGATCGAGAGAATCAGTATTCAGACACCAATAGTCTCACACAAGGATCATATAGCGATACAGCTCGAAAGCAAACGAATCTAAAAGATTTACTTCTAGCCGCAAAGGCCACTAGCATAGTACCATCATCAAGCAACACATCCAACAAGTCGAAGGGTAGTCACGATGAGTCGACTCGTGTATCCGACGAGAGAAATGTCACTGCCGCTGATGGAGAGTATGACGCCACGACTAGCGCGACGAAAGAAAAGGAAACGCATAAATCAAAGAACAACAGCAAGTTAAAAAATTATCTCAAGATTTATATATTTCATCTTTAAAATAGAAATGGAAATTGATACGAAAATGTTATTGATTGGATATAAATAAATAACAGAACATTTACTTTACTTAATTTCCTAATAAATTATGCACAACTGGTAATATACAAAGATTACGTAAAGCGGAACTTTGGGGAAGTACCAACGAATCCAAAGAGATTAATGAATACATTGATTTCATCATTGAAATATTATTTGAAATACAAAGAAAATATAAGATACTTCGCTAATGAAGAAGTTAAGAAAGTAATATAAATGTTATAATGATCATTTTTAAGAAATGATGTTGATCTTGCATATAATTAATTTGTTTCATTTTACTTGTTTTGTAAATAGTCTATATGTATTTGGAAATTGAATGATAACATCCGTCCGAAAAGGTAAAGAGAGAAAGAAACAAACTTTATGCATATCAGGAGCTCTTGCAGCGTAGTAGAATATATTTGCATAGTGCATGCGCTTTATAAATGTGTATTCTTATGGTATGGTATGGTATATTTTATTTATTCACGTTTAAAAACATAATACAATTGTGCCCGCATTCAGCAAACGCTGTTTTTCAGCGAGGCCGTGATTACATATAACAGAATATAAAACAATGAAAATACAATTTACAAACCAATATGCAAGTTATAATAAGTGAACATATTTACAGAAATTTAAGTACAAAATAGAATCATAGTGATAAAGTGAGGGGGAAAAAAAATTATCTACAAGATGAAAGAAGTGAGCAAATATCTTGAATTTTACTAATCTCAATGTTGTAAGATTTAAAACATTTATAATTCTGATATCGTTGGGTAGGGTATTAAAAAGTTTTGATGCTTGGTATGATGGACTATGTTGAAGAAAATTTGTGTGAGGTCTTGGAAGGGGGATTTGTGAATTTGCATAACGGAACATATAGCCTAAATTAGTATTAAATTGGATCAATGACGATAAAATAGGTGAACCAAGATTATGTAACAACTTAAATATAGTAACTGAAGCCTGTTTGACCCAGTATTCTTTTAGCATGTCAATTTCAAGGGTTTTATACTGAATTTCAGTGTGATATCTACTATTCACTCCAAGTACAGAGCTCAAACACCTATTTTGTAGAGTTTGAAGTTGTTTTAACCAAGTTTCTCTACCGTTCATCCAAATCGTGCTGCAATAAGCGAAATGAGGCTGAATTAAGGTTTTGTACAGTATTAATGCTATCTTTTCATCTGTGAATTGTCTCATTCACTTTAGTGCAAAATACGTCTTTAAAACCTTTTTCTTTACATGGTCTATTTGTGGGTTCCATGAGAAATTGCAATCAAGCAAGATCCCAAGATATTTTCATTCCATTACTCTAAGTAATTTTTTGTTATTCAGACGAATATCAACATTACAGAAACGACTCAAATTTGACTTTGAGCCGGTTAACATGACCTGACATTTGTTAACGTTCAGCAACAATTCATTATTTGAAAACCATGTCGTAGCTGATTTCAAATCACCATTGATTACTTTCTCTAATATATTTGGGTCTTTTGATGCAAAAATACATGCAGGTGTCATCCGCATACAGAGAAAGGGAACATTTGTTTATTGATTTATATAAATCATTCGGAGTGATAACAAACATCAATGGCCCAAGGATACTTCCTTGGGGCACTCCGCTTGTTACTTTTCTGCTCTGTGACATGCTACCGTCTACCAAAGTGCATTGTTCCCTATCATGGAAATAATCCTGAAACCAACATATTGAATTTTGATCAAAACCATAATATTTTAGCTTTTTAAGCAAAATCTCAAATGATACAAAATCGAACGCTTTTTCTAAGTCAAGCGTTACAATACCTACTACATACCCATTGTCTATTTTTTTTTTTACAAACATCTTCTTTTACAAACATTATCATTAACACAGCGACCCCACTAGTCTACGCCCAAATGATTCATCAAGAAATAAGAAAAATCCAACCGAAAATTATAGGCCATATCACGCAGGCGCGGATCCAGGATTTCTTAGGGGGGGGGGGGCCAAATTTGAAATCAATTTGAAATTTAGTGTGCTGAAATTCGAAAATCGTGCCGGCCAATATTTCGCTCAGTGGGGGGGGGGGGGCATCTCCAAAAAAAAGGTAAAATTAACGTGTTTTACTGTTTTTACACGCCACTGTGGCCACCCGATGTAGCAGGCGGAAGAGGAGAACCTGTGATTCAAGTGCAGAAGATGTATGTACATTCAAAATGTGTGCATGCTTTTTGTAATTGTGCAACTGAACTGTGATTTGGAAAGAAAGCCCTCCTTTATATTACATTGTTATTGATATTTATTGTTTATTGGTTTCATTTTTTGTGTTAAATTAAATTCTTTGTATTCATCCAAATTCAGAAGAACACATGGAAAATTGTCTTGGTCACACATTGTAAAAAATGCATTTGATAAAAATATGTGAAAAACTATATCGTCGTGTTTATAATCATAGAAGAACCAAATCCTTGTTGCTTTCGAAGAAAATCATCTGGAAATCGCATATTTTGGTCTTATCTTATGACAAAATGGGCCTAGGCCGAATAAGAAGTGGGTGCTTTTTCCTGTTATTTTGAACTAGTCTATTGATCTTTCTTTCCTTATCCTGAAGCAGAGCTTACCTCAGATGATTACGGATCAATAGAATCTACAGAAGTCCCACAAAAGTATTAAAAAGGTATACAAATATTTTTAAAAAGAGATCGAGAGAAGTTGAGCGAGATTGAGGGAGAGAGGGGGACGGATCGAGGAGAGAAAGAGAGGGATGGGGGCGGAGGGGAGAGGGGAAAAGATAGAGATTGAGAGTGTGAATACTAGGACACTGCTAACGTTTCAATTTTACAGATAGGACATACATCACATATTAATAATTCCTGCAAAGTTCTACAAAAATTGATTAGGTCTATATCTGATCCAAGGAGAACTGTAACGGTTTTAAAAAAATCAGAGCCGCCATTGCTCCCACTCGTTTATATAGAGTTCCTTAAAAAGAACAAAAATAATTATGTGTGAGAACCCCCACTTCGAATGCAAACAAACCCAAATGAAAATTATCAAAATTATTGTGAAAGCAAACTGTTTTTGGTATAAATGAATTGTTTATGATAACATTCTGATAATTAGAATTCAAGTAATTGATTAAGTAAAATGTCCCCGTTTTCCGGTGACAAAACCATACCCCCAATTCCAGGGGAGTGTTTCACAAAGATCCTAAGTAGAACTTAACACTAAGTTGGACTTAAAAAGTATGGACAGCCATTGGAGCCTTAAAATGAAATATATTCAAAAGCAAAAATTGGAGTATTTTAGACTTTTCATCAATTCCACATCAAGAACATGAAATCTCCCATGATAATAGAAAATACAATGATTTGAATCAACATTTTATGCCTTCTAAAAAAAAATTACAAAATGTTTTCAAGGATGCTAATGGCTTCCCATAAATTTTAAGTCAAACTTAGAGATAAGTTCAACTTAGGATCTTTGTGAAACACCCCCCAGGTCCTTACAAGTATGTGTGTGTGCGTGGGTGTGCGCGCGCCTCTCTCTCTCTCTCTCTCTCTCTTTCTCCATCTTCCTTCATTTCCATCGGTTAACACGGCAAAATCACCACACGGAGTGCAGACGATTATAAGTTATTGGGAATTAAAAGGTCAGCATGACAACTTTCCTAGTATTGTTGACGTACAACCCTCCCCATCCTCTCTCTCTCTCTCTCTCTCTCTCCCTTGTCATTATCCATCTCTTTGGCAGGGGGATTGTGGGTTCAACTGTTTGTGCAATGTTTAAACGGGTGTGCTTTAGAATTGCAAATGATTCATGTGTGTGTATAACTATGTGTGCGCTCGCGCGTCTCCCTTCATCTTCAACGGGCCTCACGGCAAATGAACTTAAAGTCCCATGACGTCACGGGGTTCAGACGATGATAAATTATTGGGAATTACAAAAGAGGCGGCATGAAAACTTTCCTAGGTAGTTTACACGTACACCCCCCCCCCCCCCCCTCCTTCCTCTCTCTCTCTCTCTCATTATATGTCTATTAGACAGGGGTGGTGGCCTAGCAGGTGCAACTTTTCTTTGCAATGTTCCGGAGCGTGTGCATTAAAATGTGGTCGTGTGTGCTTGTGTCTATCTCACCCTTGTTCTCTCTGTTCCACTCTGGTAATTCATTATTAGTAGGGAAATAAGATTTTGACAATATTAGCATGTCAATCTTTTGTCGAGGTAATCTTTAACTATAGGAGTGGAGTGCTTTTGAATCTTAAGTAACTGAGAGCTAGTGATGTATATGTTGAGATGAAATTCATGGAAATTGGACATTGAAAATCGCGCCGACCGATATTTCGCTCAGTGGAGGGGGGGGGGGGGGGGGGGGGGGGGTGTTAGTGAGCAATCTTTTTTTTTTCTAGTCAGCACATCCCCCCCCCCCTTGAGCAAAAAAAAATTGAGGGGGGGGGGTAACCCCCAATACTTTAATTTGTTTTTATAAACCGTCAATGAAATATAAGAACATATAAATTAAAAGACTTCATTCTCTTCCAACATCAGTAAGGGTCAAGTCTTTAAATTGTCATGCTTGGATGGGCCCAATCATTTAAACGTTAGAAGGTCTGATCAAACAAAAAATTGATAAAATAGAGCAAATAGCCATGTAAGTGTTGGTAAACTTGTGTATATGTGCAAGACATTCTCGGTCAGCAATATAAATGAGAAACAATTAGGAGAAATGTGCTCTGGATGTCAACTGCAGTATCAGGACTGCACGGTTTTGACAAGCACTGAAGGCCAATATGCCTCTTATCTCCACCCAAGATAGCGGACGAGCCATGGGATACCTCCAATGCTCATTAACATTTGAAAGACCAGATGCCCCATTTTTGCAATTTTCTCTCAGACTCGTTTATGATTAAATGGCTATACTCACTCATATTCATTAATGGGTCTATTCCAATTACATATCATCTTTACGAGGATTAATTCATATTTATTTTCATGTAGAAAAGATAAGTATATATTAATTTTTTTTTTGGAATCTTACTATAAATAATTTCTATTCCGAGTGTATACAAATTTTTATACAACTCACTCCCAAATCCTTATCAAATGATTGGTCATGCGCGATCACGTGTGATTCATTTACTGAACATATTGCACTCATTTTCATGAAAAGGAGTGCAATATATTGAACTCGTTTTCAGAGCGCGCAGTAGTGCGCGTAGATGTTAGAGCGCTTAAAGTGCGTGGGCCTATTCTTGCGCAGCATCATGCGTAAATAGGTATAGAGGTAAGTGCGCTTGCTATATCTATACTTAAGTGTGCGCACTACATTGAGACTTATTAAAACTTGAGATTTATTTGTCAGCCATATACTGTCACGAAACAATCTTGAATTAATTCTTTTTACATCAAATAACAAGGATCTAAGGAGTTTCGTTGTATAAAACAAATGATGCATGTTTTTATTCGTTTATTATACGATCTATCCGCCCTCGTTGATGCTGTATGTATCTATCGCACTCAGCCTAACGGCTTTGTGCGATAGATACACACAGCCTCAACTCGAGTGCGGATAGATCGTACAATGAACTCATGCGCATGCATCATTTGTATATTATACATGTATAGAGAGGGAGAGAGAGAGAGAGAGAGAGAAAGAGAAAGAGAGAGAGAGAAGGGGTTAGGTTAAGGACATGGATTGGAAGAGAAGATATTCATACATACATATACGAGTTCGTCATGTCATTTTACAATCACAGTGAAAACAGTTGCATGAATCGTAAACTAAGATGTGCACAAGTTAGAAATGCCACTTCATCCTAAGTTTCAAGTTTTTCATTTGCATATTGATGAATGTACATTTCACATTTTTTCTACAGGAAGTAATATCCAATGTGTATTACCGTATCCGGCAGATGCGGATCTAGGATTTCTTAGGGGTGGGGGCCCAAATTTGAAATCAATTTGAAATTTAGTGCGCAGAAATTAAATCATGCCGGTCAATATTTCGCTCAGTAGGGGGGGGGGGGCCATCTCCCTAAAAAGGGTAAATTAACCTGTTTTTACACGTCGCTCCCCCCCCCCTGGATCCATCACTGGGTCCACTGGGCGGAGCCCCCAGAAGCTCTGGGGTTTTATACATTAATTTATCGTCAGGTGAGCATATTTTATACCTTATTTGTGACACTGGTAGGTCACGAATTGCCGTGGGGTCCAGGGGGCCGAGCCACCAGAAGCTCAGGGGTTTTAGGCATTTAATTATGTCAGATAAGCATATTTTGATACCTTAATTGTGACACTGGCAGGACAATAATTGGCGTGGGGTCCAGGGGGCGGAGCCCCCAGAAGCTCGGGGGTTTTAGGAATTTAATGACGGTCAGACAAGCATGCAGGGGTCCGCCTTAGGGCTACTGGTGGGGTCGAGGGGGTGGAGCCCCGGAAAATTAGGGGTTTTAGGCATTTAATTACGGCCAGATGAGCACATTTTGATACCTTATTTGTGACACTGGCATGACAATAATTGGCGTGAGGTCCAGGGGGCCGAGACCCCAGAAGCTCAGGGGTTTTAAGCATTAAATTACGGTCAGATGAGCATATTTTGATACCTTTGATATCTTTCCCCTTTTATTTCCTTCTTCTTTCCCCCCCCCCTTTTTTTTCCTCCTTTTTTCCTTCTTTTTTTCCTTCATTTTTTCCTTCTTTTTTTTCCTTCTTTTTTTCCTTCTTTTTTTTTTGCCAGGGGGGGGGGTCCCGGGGGCCCGGGTCCCCCCCTGGATCCGCCACTGCCACGTAACCCTGTGGAACACCAAATGGATCCCTCAATAAGAGATTCTTACTTGGTACATATGTGTGGCGCCCCCTTGAGTGATGACGACCTGACCTGGCGGATACACTATCCCTGGTTGGCCTTGCGGAAAAGCTACCGGTTGACGTTGTGGATATGCTCCAGGATGTTCGTAGGCGGTATTCTGATGTCCATGGGGATTGTAGACTGGTCGTTCGGCCATTTTGAAGTCGGGTCAAATTAACCTAAAACAATGAAAAATATTAAAAATTCGTATTTTTATCATAATGTACTTTATTTTGCTCATATATATATATATATATATAAATGAATATGTGTATAAATAACGGTACACACATATATAAATATATATAAATAATCATTGAAATTATGAAATGAGTTACTAATTGTGCTTAGATCTAGAAGTTTCTCAATGCTGTTCCTCATTTTTAAATTTTTGCAAAGATTAAAAAAGAAAAACCATCTCCGCTGGGAATCGCAACCGGGTCTCTGACTTAGATCACCAATGCCATAACCATCTACTACATCACAGACACAGGCAAATAGTCTCGGCGATACCAGATCCTATGTTATTGTCCGATAATTAGGGGGTTAAGAGGACCTTTTTTTCTTTTTTTCGGTCCCAAAAATTTTGCAACGAATCAGCCGGGGGGGGGGGGGGGGGGGGGTAACATCACATTTTTTTTTTTTGTCCTGAAATTTGACCGATCGATATTTTGTTCGGTTGGTTTTTTTTTTTTGGGGGGGGGGGTTTAGGTCACCTTTTTTGATCACCAATTTGCACAATTTTTTTTTTTTTAAATTATTATTTTTAAAAAAATTGAGGGGGGTTCGACACCTAACCCCCCCCCCCCTCCCCTGCGTACGCGCCTGTCGTAACATAACATAGCACTTTCATTGTAATTAAAAGTTGTCTAATGAAGCAGAAGCTAGAACGATGCATTACATCTTTGGACATCGAATATATTCGAATATATTCAAACATTATAACAACGAATTAGGGCATTTCTAGCCCAATAAACCCACCATGTTTAACCCGACCAACCTACCAACCATTGGTACCTTTCGGTCCAACCTGCGAAATTTATACATTTATTAAAACAACAATTTGAAATATTTCTAGCCCAGCCAACTCTCCATTTCTAGCCCAATCAACCAACCAACCAACCATTAGTACATTTCGGTCCAACTTGCGAAGTTTATATTCAAACATTTATAATTATCTTTACGAGTCAATAAAGTAGCCGAGTTAGACGTGATGTTCAGGTTTACTGTGTGTTTATTTACTCCATGATTTTCGGGTTATCTGCGCAGTGATACATGCATGCATACGTTTACAATCAGTGTGTAGTGTGATACATATAAATACTCAAGAACAAATTTAGTTCTGTATATAGTTCATAAGATAAAACATTCTTATGTTTTACAGCTGCCCCCATGTTATGCCTTTACGAGTCAATAAAGTAGCAGAGTTAGACGTGATGTTCAGGGTTACTTTTTTTTTTTGTACTCCATGATTTCTATAACTCTTAATCTTGTTTAACATACAGTGTAAACTGTGCTTACGTGATACCAACGGAATAGAGTTTTTCTACAATATATACTCATACATTTTTAATTGGTATTATGCGAGGGGGCGTAGCGATCGAGCGAGAAAATTTTTGCGTTTTTGGGCCCTCCGGACAAAGCCTAAAAGTGTGTTGCAGTCTTTAGTCAGTATTTGCTATATCTTTTTTTTTGCACTTTTTCAAATTTTCCATGGGGGGGGGGGGCGACGATTCCTCCTGAAAAATATTAATGGGGGACGTGTCCTCCCCCCTCCCCTGTCCCCTTGGGATCGCATCCCCTGATAAGTACATTTCAGTCCTACCTGCGAATATATTCAAAAATTTAAAATTGAAACATTTCTAGCCCAACCAACCAACCATTAGTACATTTCGGTCAAACTTGCGAAGTTTATATTCATACATTTATACCAGCAAATCGGAACATTTCTACCCCAACCAACCTTAGGTACATTTCGGCCCTACCTGCGAATATATTCTAACATTTATAACAACAAATAGAAACATTTCTAGCCCAATCAACCATCCATTTCTAGCCGAACCGACCAACCATCAATACATTTCGGCCCTATCTTCGAATATATTCAAACATTTATAACAACGAATAAAAGGCATTTCTAGCCCAATAAACCCACCATGTTTAGCCAGACCAACCTACCAACCATTAGTACATTTCGGCCCAACCTGCGAAATTTATACATTTATTACAACAATTTGAAATATTTTTAGCCCAGCCAACTATCCATTTCTAGCCCAACCAACCAACCAACCATTAGTACATTTCGGTCCAACTTGCGAAGTTTATATTCAAACATTTATAATTATCTTTACGAGTCAATAAAGTAGCCGAGTTAGACGTGATGTTCAGATTTAATGTGTGTTTATTTACTCCATGATTTTCGGGTTATCTGCGCAGTGATACATGCATGTATACGTTTACAATCAGTGTGTAGTGTGATACATATAAATACTCAAGAACAAATTTAGTTCTGTATATAGTTCATAAGATAAAACATTCTTATGTTTTACAGCTGCCCCCATGTTATGCCTTTACGAGTCAATAAAGTAGCAGAGTTAGACGTGATGTTCAGGGTTACTGTGTGTTTATTTAACTCCATGATTTCTATAATTCTTAATCTTGTTTAATATACAGTGTAAACTGTGCTTACGTGATACCAACGGAATAGAGTTTTTCTACAATATTATACTCATATATTTTAAATTGGTATCATGCGACGGAGCGTAGCGATCGAGCGAGAAGATTTTTTTTTCTTAGTCTAAACGCTGCACTCTTGGGCCCTCCGGACAAAGCCTAAAAGTGTGTTGCAGTCTTTAGTCAGTATTTGCTATACCTTTTTTAGTTGCACTTTTTCAAATTTTCCATTGGGGAGGGGGGTGGGCGACGATTCCCCCTGAAAAAAAAATGGGGGACGTGTCCTTCCCCCCCCCTCCCTGTCCCCTTGGGATCGCATCCCCTAATAAGTACATTTCAGCCCTACCTGCGAATATATTCAAACATTTAAAATTGAAACATTACTAGCCCAACTAACCAACCATTTCTAGCCCAACCAACCAACCAACCAACCATTAGTACATTTCGGTCAGACCTGCGAAGTTTATATTCATACATTTATACCACCAAATCGGAACATTTCTAGCCCAACCAACCTTAGGTACATTTCGGCCCTACCTGCGAATATATTCTAACATTTATAACAACAAATAGAAACATTTCTAGCCCAATCAACCATTCATTTCTAGCCGAACCGACCAACCATCAATACATTTCGGCCCTATCTTCGAATATATTCAAACATTTATAACAACGAATTAGGACATTTCTAGCCCAACCAACCATCCATTTCAAGCCCAACCATAGTACATTTTGGCCCAACCTACAAACCACTAGTATATAACCAATTATTTATTCCAACAAATTAAACCATTTCAAGCTTAAACCAACCATCCATCGATACTACCAGTTTTTCACACAAGAATTACGTTCATGTTCATTGATTATCTTTCGGGACTTTTAGATTTGCGTGGACTGATACGTGTAACGTCCATTCAAGGCAGTGCATTAAAAGGACGTCGATCGTAGCAATCCCTATTGTCTTCGTGTGAATCTAAAAGTCCCTAATATCACGTCAGTCCCTCTTCTTCAAACAGGATGTCAACCCTGCAACCATTTCAACACAGAGCAACTGAACAATGAAACCCCACACTTATATTCTGCTTTATCCTCAAACAAAAGGAATTAAGGGGTGGGAAGGTGGGAAAAGAAACACGTTTTACCCCAGTGGAAGTTGTCGAGCTTGTGAAATATATAGTACCGAATTTGTGAAATCATAAAAATCTGTTTTTAACATTTCTCAATTTGAACTTCACTTTCCATAAGGGCATCTAAATTTACGTCCAAATATCGAAAACCAATTGAATATGTTAATTATTGGATGAGATATGGCCATCTGAATAAATGGATTTCCTATAGGAACTCAGTGTTATTTTGCTCTGGTTCTTAATACGTGTAAAAGCACTTACAAAATAAATTTTGGATTTCTGCTGTCCAGATTGAAATAATTTGATGTTAATTACAGATCTATAGAATGAAAAAATTTACAATTCGAATATAGGTCGATTATAGTCTTCATATTACTGATAGCAGAAGTACATTTTAGGTGATAAAGTATATTTTTTAAAAACCTGCAAAGTGTAAAAATATGTATTAGTACTAGTCCTTGTTCTGTGGATCGTATGTAATATAATATTCGACTCGTCACTTATTCCATACATAATCATTTTTTTTAACGTTTTAACCCTCCATAAGCTATTTTATTGAGTCAAATAAACATTTTTACAACTCAATGAAATTAAGTCTTTCCTTAACTCAAACAAAACAGAATACTTTCACATTTCTCTCCTTGTTGTTCATACAAACAAATGTTGAAGTGCCTGCCATTTTTAGTAAAAAAATTGTTATGCATACCAGATATAGGATGGATATATCTCTCGTCTTCATAATATTGAATAATTTTCTTCTTCAAAGAACTAAAATTGGGAATTTTGTTATTAAGCTTTTGAACAAATAGTTGATGCTTAATCAAAGTCACCGTGCAATTTAAAGCATTGTTTCTTTTGTCTGTAATCGAGAACCGAATCGAGAACTCCATCTGTAATCGAGAACCTTCATTTATCCATTTCACCGTTTCCTTCCAGATTGATTTACTGATTTCACAATTGTAAAAGAAATGTACAATATCTTCCAACTCTTTTTTACAAAACGAACATTTATCGTTACTCACTATTTTCATCTTATACAGTTGCTTGTTCAAATACAGAATCTTATTTACTATCTTAAACTGAAAATATCGTAAACCAATATCTGGAGTAAAACGAAATATCATTCTATGATATTTCTGCATTCTTATACATTCAGTGGTATAATCTAAATGTCGTTCCCATTTCATACATATTGAGTTAACACAATTTGTTTTTATAAATATATTGACAACCGTTTATGTCATGTACTAATATTTTGATATGTGACGGCATTAGAGGATCTACTACATTTTTTTCACATTTTTCAATATGCATTTGATATCGACACTTTTTAGCTTGAGTTACAGAATAATAAGACAAATAATTTAG